AGGAACATCCAACTGAAGTTACACTGGCAACTTTGAAAACATCTGTACAGCCAACAGTTTCCATTTGGGGCTTTGAAATTACACCATCTGTGGTCATAAGGCTGCAGTGTGGTTGAGGACCTGTGCACATTTAATGAACAGCACTTAGGAACTGCAGAAGATGCAGATTCAGAAGATGAAGAGGGAGATGTAAAAGTCTTAAGTGTGTTTGGAAGGCAATCTGTCCCTGGGAGTGGTAGCAAGGTTCCACAGAAAAAGTAAAACCTGCTGCTGCTGCTGCTGATGATGATGATGATTTTTGCTGACAAAGGGAAGAAACAGTTTCAGTGAAGAAATCTATATGAGATACTCTAGCCAAAAATGTATAAAAATTAAAACAGAATGGAAAGGACTGGAAACCAGCAAAACCAAAATCAAAAGGTCAAGAATCCTTCAAAAACCAGGGGAAAAAATTCCTAAAATACCAAAAGGACCTACTTTAGTGAGTTTATATCTGGCTGTCCTTTTAAAATGCAAAATGAGAACTTTCCCTACTGTGTTTGATAAATTTTGTCCAGGCTCCTCTGCCAAGAATGTATTGTCCAAAATGCCTATCTTGTTGTTATCTTGGGTTTTTTTTTTTTTAACCAGTCCTGGAGCTTGAACTCAGGGCCTGGGCACTGTCTGAGTCTCTTTGTGATCTGAAGAAAAGGAAACATTTAAGGGGCCCGTGTGTGTGTGTGTGTGTGTGTGTGTGTGTGTGTGTGTGTGTGTGTGTGTGTGTGTGTGTGTGTGTGTGTGTGTGTGTGTGTGTGTGTGTGTGTGTGGTGTTGTTTTGCTTTGCAGTCAGTGGTAGAGCTTGAACTCAAGGACTGTGTGTGTGTGTGTGTGGTGTTGTTTTGCTTTTGCGGTCAGTGGTAGAGCTTGAACTCAAGGACTGTGTGTGTGTGTGTGTGTGTGTGGTGTTGTTTTGCTTTGCGGTCAGTGGTAGAGCTTGAACTCAAGGACTGTGTGTGTGTGTGTGTGTGTGTGTGTGTGTGTGTGTGTGGTGTTGTCTCGCTTTGCTTTGTGTTGGTCAGTGGTAGAGCTTGAACTCAAGGACTGGGGCACTGTCCCTGAGCTTTTTTGCTCAAGGCTAGCACCCTACCACCAATCCACTTCCAGTTTTCTGGTGGTTAATTGGAGGTAAGAGTCTCACCACGTTAGCTTTGAACATCTCAATATCCTAAGAATCTAGAGTTACAGGCAGAGCCACTAACTCCCAGCTGTTTGAAAGTTTTAAGGTTGTATGTCAGTCATGGAGCTTAAACTCGGCCTGGGTGCTGTCCCTCAGCTCTTCAGCTCAAGGTGAACACTCTACCACTTGACCCAGTGTCACTTCTTGCTTTTTGGTCGTTTATTGGAGATGAGAGTTTCATGGACTACTTTCATGCCAGGGCTGGTTTTGAACCGCAATCCTCAGATCTTAACCTCGTGAGTAGCGAGGATTACAGGTGTGAGCCACCAGCACCCAGCTAAGTTACTATTTTTAAAAAATCAGTACCTTCTAAAGGAAAAAAGCAAAAAATCTGTCACAGAATTTTGAGACCCGTTAAAAGTCCATTGAGAAAAATATAGGATCATTTTAAGTACCAGTTTATATACTTTGTTCCAAATTCTCAAAAAAAATTTTATTCAACCTAATCAAATCATCAAAAATCTGTGCCTACATCACATTTTACATGGACAATCCTTCAGTAGCATGAACTGAGGTATCAGCCATCAGCTAATACTCATGGCTATGGTAAGATAGTTATTATCATTAAACCAAAATTAGAACATCAGCTGTCTTCCAAATCTTCACAAGCCCCAGACAGATTTAAGGTTATAAAGATAACAAATTCTTTGAGACAAGACCCAGGAAGCTGGGAATGTGGCTTAGTGGTAGAGTGCTTGCCTAGCATGCATGAAGCCCTGGGTTCCATTCCACATAAACAGAAAAAGGCAGAAGTAGTGCTGTGGTTCAAGTGATAGACTGCTAGACTTGAGCAAAAGAAGCTCGGGGACACTGCCCAAGCTCTGAATTTAAGTCCAAGCACTGGCAAAAAAAAAAAAAAAAAAAGACCCAGGGGACAAAGGAAAAATACTTACATCTTTATCTTTAGAGTTAGATGAAAACCACTGTTAGACTGAAAAACACTGTTAGACACACACTATCACAAACTTGCAAACAAGTCAAGAGGACATGAATATCCCTCGAGGCCATTAATGAGTCTAAGGTCAAAATTTCCTTTTTAGAAAATAGCAAGCCTAAATGCCACACTCTAGGACTGATTCTGCATATTACATGATTTCCATGTAAAGCTTTCAAAGATGGGTTGAATGACAGAGATCTCTCATGCTTATATTATTGGGAATGTCCACCTTGTGCTGGCCACCACAAATGTCCTGATTTGTTCATCTTCTCTGTAACTACTCTGTATATAATGTATTAAGTCTTGCCTTCCCCACCATTCATTTTTCCTCATTATAGTTCCTTCTACCTAACACTATACATTCATTATTTTTATTAATGGGAATGAACAGCCCCTGAGGGACGGGGCATGTTTTGCTCCTGGTTCTATCTCTAGTACCTAAGAGGCACATGCAATTTTTAAAAAAATCATGAAGGAGACTTTACTTTCTATAGAAAGAAGAGGTTATTAGGAAAAATTTCAGAATTCTACATTTTGGCAAATAAAATTTTCCTGAATTGAGCCATGGTCATTTTTTATCATTTAAATTGGCTTCCATGATACAATGGCAGAGTTGAGAAGTTCCAAGAGGAGCACACAAGCTACAAAGCCTCAAATAGTTACTAACTGGTGTTTTACCTTAAATGTGTGATAGTATTCATTAGATCCATAATTTCCAAATTAGAGTGGAGCCTCATGGGAACAGTATCTGGTTCTTATACCTTTTGCACTTAGACCAGAGTACACTTTATCACAATGCAAAAGCATGTATTACACACTACCAACATTATTTATGCATAATTACAAAATGAAACCATTTATAGCAAAGCCACAATCAAAGATTATCTCTATTCAGTAAATGGGAAACAGGTAGAGATAGCTATGTGTAGTGATGCACACCTGTTATCTCAGCATTTAGGAGACTGAAACGACCTTGTCTCACCAATGACAAGAGGTATTGATGCTTACTACCACCAGCTTTCAAATGTGAATGCAACATCACTGGAAAACTCTTACCATAATGTTTTAAACATATGATAGCAATGTGAATCAGTTATTTTCCCAAATGCAAAAATCACTTTCAATTTTTGTCTTAGGCTAGCCACATAACAAGTGCTTAACAGTCATCATTTTCTGTGATTACAATTACTTGAATGTGACAAGATTTATACCCATTTGTCATTCCAGATAGGCTCAGCACTTCTTACTCCTTGAAATATATTTGAAATTTATCTTGTATAGGTATCATGAGGTTTACAAGAAACTGAACATTAAATAGCTGTTTGTAGGCATGCTTTTAAAGCTGACTACATAAACAAAGATGTTTATCACATTATTAGATGATAGGATATTTTGACAATTGTGTAGCCCATAGAGAAGGGCTACAAAGTTTATTGAATTATCTTTGCCAAGTTATTCTAAATAAGCAAAAGTATACACAATAATATACAATCATTTGAGAAAACTATTGTTTATTTAGAAAAATGTTACATGGGTAGAATTCAGTAGCTTAAAAAATTATCCCTTAAAAATTTATTTTGAGACTTTTCCAGACTAAAGCAGTACAAAGCTTCTACAGCTGTAGATTAAAGCACAAGAAAATTTTCACTTCCCACCCCCCTAAATTTGTCTCTAATTACAACAAAAAAATGTCAAGGGACAAGTGAGCGCTGGTATCATTTTGTTTAAAAGGTTTTAATGTATGTGTACCATACAGAATAATTCTTAGGCATTGCACAAGACAGCTCCCACTTTATTTTTAGTGACTCATATGAAAAACAGGCCAAATAAATTAAAACTTCAGTTTTAAAATGAGGTAAATTGAAAATGGTTCAATAATTGTTTATTTTCCATTTCAAACAGTAAAAAGGAAGCATTTCAGATTGGGGGTGGATGGGTAGAGACTAAAACTAGGCAATATTTAATGAAAAGTGAAATCCTGTATACATGTAACCTTATTTGCTATTTGAGAAGTTTTAGCACATTGTGCTAAAATATGGAACAATGAACACTTTCAGCCATTACTGAAAATAATCATGTAGAAACTAAGCAAGAAGTCAAAATACAGTAATGCATAACTCAACAATTGTAGGTTTTTCACATAGAGCAAGGAAGCAGATAACTGAGTAATTTTAAAAGGTACAAATGGCCCTCTTCATAATTCTTGGCAATCTACTCAGGAAATAAGTTTCTGCTCACAGCTGAGTAATTTCATTCCAATCTCACCTGAAAAAAATAAAGTGATTAAGATGACAGATTAGGAAGGACGAAGGAAGGGAGGGAGGAAAGATGGGTAGAGAGGAGGAGAAAAAAGGAAGAAAGGAGACGGTGGGCAGAAAAAGAGTAGAAACAGTAAAGTGGAAAAAAGGGGGAAAGGAAAGAGGAAGAAAAAGTTGAGAAAGGAAAGTGAATTCTATCAACAACAAAAGCTTGAATTAAGTTCTGAGAAAAAAGGAAGGAATATTGGTGTCTTTTCATTGTCCATTGTTACAAACCATGAAAAAAGACATACTATGACTTTTAAAAACAACTAAACATTTAAAATTGTATGTAAGAGAAAAGATGCAGATATAGAGAAAAAGAAAATAGTCAAGTAAAACCTTTGCAGAACAAACAATAGCTTATCAAAAATAAAAAGAACATAGAACATGTAGTAAAGGAACCTATTTTAGATGATCAACCCAAAAGAAAAAAGAAAAAAAATGACATCACATTCTTTGCAAGGACACAATTTTAATAGTGACTTATATTAAGATGCAATGTCTGCTAAATTATAAAAATTGCTTTAAAAATATATTGACTCAATTATACTCATTTCCTTTATGTATTGACATTTTTCAAATACTGCATAATGAAATAAATTCAAAACATGATTACAATATGTAGCAAATTATTCTTCTGCCTAACATTGCTCACTCAAATTTTAAACTAATGCTTAATGCATCAAATTTTATTGATGAAAATACTACATTCATATATTTCATAATATCAGAGTGAGAAGAGGCCTTAGAAAATAATCACACTTGCATGAAATGCTGACAAATAATTTACATCATTTCTACACATCATTCTGTTCACATCTTGTATAACCTTGACATTATCGATTATAATTGCAGATACACTGATGTTAAACTTACAATTTTAATACTTAAAAACTTATTGTTCCTGTCCATCAAATAATGAATAAACAAAATATGATACACATTCATTCAGTGAAATATTTAGCATTAAAAAGGAATGGAGCATTGATACATGCTATAACATGGATGAATCTTGAAAACATGATGCCAAGCAAAAGAATCTAGACACAAAAGGCCACAATATTACATGATTCCATTTATATGAAATATCCAAAATCATAGACAGAAGGTACATTAGTAGTTCCAGAGGCAGAGGAAGGGGAGTATTAAAAATGACTGCTGCTGGGTTTAAGAGGCTCATGCCAGTAATCCCAGCTACTTAGGAGGCAGAGATTGAGAGGATCGCAGTTCAAGTCCAGCCCAAGCAAAAAGTTAGCAAGACCTCATCTCAACCAATATGCCAGGCATAGTTGTACATGCCTATCTTCCCAGCTATGTGGGAGGCCATAGGTAGGAGGATCACGGTCTGAGGTTGGCCTGGAACAAAAATTCAAGAACCTACCTGTAAAGTAATTAAAGTAAAAAAATTAAATTAAAAAAGTGATTAACACATTTGAGGCTTCTTTTGAAGATGACATGCTCTGACATTACACAATGGGGTGAATGCACAACATAGGAAATATAAAGACTCCTCAATTAGGCAGTTTAAGATGGATAGTTTAGATCAATTTTTTCAATTAAAAAGCCAATGTTCTAATAAAGATCATCATGGTATCCATATGACTAAACTCAGAAGAATTAGATATGGGTTCTCAACCATGAAGATGTCATATGAAGTGAGTTACTGGGCAAGGTAAACTTTGACAAGATATTTAACGGCAAAAGCAAAGATAAAATTGCTGTTACTGTTAAAATATATAAAGATCTTTCTCAGGAACAACAGAAATTAAAAAATTTTAAAGAAGCCAAAATCCTCAAACCACATGATTACAAAGACAGCCTATCTACATCATTAAGGAACTAGTTCCAGGAGTTGATTTCCTCTCCTTTCTAAGAAGGATGAACTAAACTTCAGTGAATTTTTCAATAGATGCTGCTTCTGGATGGCGTATCTTGAGTAAAAATTGTATGCACAGGGGCCTTGCTGCAAGAAAATGCCTGGAGGTGAAAATAATGTTCTGAAAATCAGTGACTTTGGAATGTCTCATCAAGAGGATGGTGGTATATATTCTTCTTCTGACTTAAAGCAGATTCCCATTAAATGGACAGCACCAGAAGCTCTTAGTTAGGGAAGATACCGTTCTGAGTGGCGCATGGAGCTTTAGCATCCTCCTCTGGGAGACCTTCAGCTTAGGGGTCCTGTCCATACCCTGGAATGACAAATCAGCAGGTACAAGAGCAAATGGAAAGAAGATACTAAGCGTCAGTCTCTCAACAGTGTCCAGAGAGTATTACAAAATAATGCTGAAATCTTGGGATTACAACATTGGAAACCTCCCCCTGGCTGGTCCACTCAACTTCACAAAGGACTGGCTGCCATTAAAAACAAAGTCACACTGTGATGAACCAGTGCTATAATTCAGCCTTCGGGATTCTAACTTCAACCGAATAATAGTCATTCTCATTGACACTGGGTTCATACATTACCTGCAATATTTTTCTACACTGTTTTCTTTCACTTATATTAGCCACTGGAAATTTCAAGATATTTCAAGTTTCTGGCTGTAAAAGTCACAGAGATCGATTTTTTTTCTATTTAGGAATGATGCTTCCCGAAATTATCTTCTACTACCGCTCTGTTTACTCCGGTTCTCCTCTGCCGCCGCCACCACCACTACCACGCACGCACGCACGCACACATGCCAAGCACGTAAACGGATGCCATGCACGCATGAACGTACGCACGCAAAGCACGTATGCACACCTCTATACTGTGTTGATGCTATGAATTATAGTGGTAATATTTCATTCACATCATACAATCAAACAAGGCTACTGTATTTGTAAACACAATTTTATACTGATAATCATCTGGATGTGCTTAGTTTTTCATTTTGCCAGAAATAGGTCCTGCAGTCATTAGTAAACTTGTCATTTTCCTACTTTTCATCATATCTTCCTCTTTGTCACGTCATCAGAATACAATCAATACAAAATGCCCTGCATTCTAGAGGGGTATGACACCAAGAAGCAACTCTGAGTAATAAGATGGTCTGAAGGTAGTTACTGTGGTGATTAAAGCAGAGAAAAGTCAAATAACTCAGCTTTCTTATCAGAAGGATGACTTTTAAATAGCACTTTTAAATGTATTGTCAAATTCACCCCAAAAAGTCCAAATACGTTTCAGTAGTTTATAATTTCTTATAAAAGTAACTTTATCAACAAAAAATTAAGAATTATGAAATCTCGGGGCTGAGAAGGTGGCTCAGTGGTAGAGCACTTGCCTTGCATGCTCGAGGCCCTGGGTTCGATTCCTCAGCACCACATAAGAAAAAAGCTGGAAGTGGTGCTGTGGCTCAAGTGGAAGAGCGCTAGCCTTGAGCTGAAGAGCTGAGGGACAGCTCCCAGGCCCCAGGCCCAGAGTTCAGGCCCTACGACTGACCCTCCCCCCCCCAAAAAAAAAGAATTATAAAATAGAAGCCTGCCAAAATAACAGCTAACTCATGGTTAAATGGCTTCAAGGAGACATCTCAAAATTGTGCACCCTGCACTTCACTACTTTTTGAAGTTATCTGACTTCATAATCCTGGTGTTTGTTTCCTGTGCCTCTCTCACACACAGATTCACATCAAGTAGAATGATAAGTGTATGTATGGATGAAAATAACATTTAAAAAGTCAAACGAACTTGTGTAGGGAAGAAAGGAGTCATACCTTCATGTGCTCTTATACTGCAACCTAGTAATCGCCTTCATGTGCTCTTATATCACAACCTAGTAATCTCTTATACAGTTTCTGAGACACTCTACATTAGATAAAAATGTAACAATGTTCCAAATGGATAAAACGTTACAGTTAAAACTGAGACACTGTTTTGATGAATCCAAACTGTATTCAAGGATGTCTTTCAGAGTAAACAGGTGTATAGAAGAGTCATACTCAAGGGCAAATGTAGTATAGGAACTTTTCCTAACAGCTCATACCTATATTTAGATTTTAAAGAAATAAAGTAAACCAAGCACTGGTGGCTCACACCTATAATCCTAGCTACTTAGGAGGCTGAGATCTGAGGATCTCGGTTCAAAGACAGCCTGGACAAGAAAAAACGGTGAGACTTTTATCTCCAAATAACCACCAGAAAACGGAAAGCAGCACTGTGGTCCAAGTGGTACAGTGCTCGCCTTGAGATGAAGAGCTCCAGGACAGTACCCAGGCCAAGTTCAAGCCCTACGACCAACAACAACAACAACAAAAATAGTAATAAAATAAAATAAAGTAAAACTATCTAAGTAAATGTTCTGGTCTACCTTGAAGAGAAAAGTTAACAGGAAATTCCTCCTGCCCCCACAAAGGAGATGTTTATTGCTATCAGAGTATAGAATCTTTTATCCTATAATTGCAATGAGTACAAAAGATGGTAAAGACAAAAATAGTTTGTCTAAAGAAACATAGGTCCCATGGTTTCCCTTATTTGCAATAACTAGTATATGTCTAGGATAAGCAGAAAAGTTCAAAAGCTATGTACATATGACCATATAAGATGATATTAAGCAAAATGAACCCCAAGACAGGGACACAGGTGGTTTTATTTTTCTTTCCTGCTATTGTTTTTTTTTCTTGCTATTGTTTTTAACATACTTATAATGTACTGTGCGATTTTTTTGTTCCTTTTGTTTGTTCTTCCCCCATGATATAACCCGTTTTCACTGATTTGATTCCAGTGTCCTGCGTCTTATATATACACTTTTCTAATTTGGGGAGGGGAAGACAAAAAACAAAATGCTTAAATAGGGATACAGGTTGACCCATTGTAACAATGAGATGTACAAGACACTATGTTGAAAACGAACTTTACAACTGGTGGGGGGGGGGGGGGGAGGGAAGAGTTGGGGAAGTGGGGAGGGAAGGGATGGTAGAGGAAAAACAAAGGAGGGGTAACAATGCTCAATAGGAAATGTACTCATTACCTTATTCATGTAACTGTAACCCCTCTGTACACTATTTTTATGATAAAAAATCTATTAAAATAGTTTGTCTACCCTTTTAATCTCCTAACAATAGCTTCCTTGGGTGCTGGCGGCTCATGGCTGTAATCCTAGCTACTCAAGAGGCTGAGATCTGAGGATCACGATTCAATGTTAGCCCAGGCAGGAAAAGTCCCTGAAACTCATCTCCAGTTCACCAGAAAAGAAGAACTAGTGAGTGGCTCAAAGTGGTAGAGAGCTACTCTTGAACAAGAGTGTTCAGGGACAGCACCTAAGCCCTAAGGTCAGGCCCCACACCTGAACCCCCCCCCCCAAAAAAAGACTAGCTAATGAGGAATACATTCAATCAAACACTCTATCCCATCAAAAATATGTCTCAGAGTGGAAATGGTTTTGTAATACCAGGAATATGAAATGAAGGTCAATTTCTCATTATGGGCTGAAGGGAGGCAAAACAATTTTGTTTTAGAATAACAAAATCAACTGACTACAGGAACTACGAGTGTAAGAGAAACAAATGAAGTAATTAAGTAGAGACTGACAGAGGTAAATATTTTTTTGGGGGGGAGGTCCAGTCATGGGGCCTGAACTCTGGGTCTGGGCGCTGTCCCTCAGCTCTTCAGCTCAAGGCTAGCGCTCTACCTCTTGAGCCACAGCACCACTTTCGGCTTTTTTCTTTTTGCTTATATGGTGCTGAAGAATCGAACCCAGGGCCTCAGGCATGCAACGCAAGCGCTCTACCACTGAGCCACCTTCCCAGCCCCCAGAGGTAAATACTTTTGTGGGTAGGGATGGCCCTTGTTCTAGAGGAACAACACAGGCAGGTTTGACTGTTACTATACAGAAATCAAGACACTATGTTGCCAGAAGAAACCTGGATTTATCAATTCTTCTGTTAGAGGCAATCAATTTTTTTAATGAACACTTTTTATCATCCAAGAATGTACACATAATGAGTTACAGTTTTACCCAACGAATGAGAATTTACAACCTTACTTTAAAGGATAAGAGTTTGTATCTTGAGGTTAGAGATGGAAATAGAAAATAAAAATTGAGGAAGCAAAGGATGGATGGTTCTTAGATAAAAATTGGAATGAGCAGGACATTTTAAAGATTAAATAAAATAAAAGCTAAAAATGTTCAATCAGCTAATAATGTTCAAGAAAAGGAAAGATAAATTTACATAGACTCCACAGGTAACAAGATGCAGAAAATAAGCAGAAACAATGTGCAACTAAAAACAGGAGACAGAACAAGAACACAGACTTTAAAGGACTTTGATCTGAGTCATATTTATAAACAGAAGTTTTTTAATTCTAGGGTGATCTTTTTCATTATTTTGGTGCTCACTAGGGGTTGAACTCAGAGCTCTGCACTTGCCAGTTAGTCATGCCTCCAGCCCTATTGTGATCCTTTTAATGATTGTAAAATCAGGATATATGTGTCATTTGTTTATATATAGTCTCCCTAAAACCACTATTCTAAAAATCAAACATAAAATTATAAAAATTTATGATGATCCTTTTTATGTTTGTGTGCCAGTACTGGGAGGGCCTGAACTTTTATGCTCAAGGCTAGTGGCTCTTTGGTAGTTAATTGGAGCTAAGAGCCTCATGACTTTCCTGCCCAGGCTGGTTTCAAAGCATGATCCTCAGATCTCAGCCTCCTGAGTAGCTAGTATTATAGGCACGAGCCACTATTGCCCAGTTTATGACATTCTTTTAATCATGGTAAATATAACTTATGTTAGCAGTTCTCCTTTCTATAGAATAGAAAATAAGCTAAAAGGGGAAGCATGGGCAGCACATTTAGAAGCAGTCTATAGTTAGTTAATACCAATCAGAAAAAGTGAGCACTCTGAAAGAAAAGTACAAAGACAAAAACAACTCCAGAATAAATTTAAATACAAAGAGGCAGCTAGAAAATAAACAGAAGACAGCCAGGGAAAAAAGTCAACTAAAGCTTCACAAAATAATCTGCCTAAAAATATAGCACATAGTTGTCACTAACTAAGCATTAAATCAAATTAAGGTAAAAATTAAGCTAAACATATCTTAAAAAGGGCCATCTTGGAAGGAACAAGATAAGTGAATTTAAAAGTTTTACTGCAAGACCACCAGCCAAACAAACAGCTCTGGCCAGTTCTTTGATACTTGGGAAAAAAAGAGAGAGATTACTATTCAGGCTTACGGAGAGAAGCATAAATTCAAAAATGTAGCAAAATTTTCACATAAAGTTTGGCACCAGTGGCTCACACCTGTAATCCTAGCTACTCAGGAGGCTGAGATCTGAGGATGGTGGTTCAAAGCCAGACAAGGCAGGAAAGTCTGTAAGACTTTTATCTCCAATTAAACACCAGAAAAATGGAAATCGAGCTGTGGTACAAAGATAAAGTGTTAGAAAAGCTCATGGACAGCCCAGGCCCTGAGCTCAAGCCCCATAACCAACTTAAAAAAAAATGAACTGAAGTACTAAGTAAAGACAGATACATAAAAATCACAGTGAAAGAGAATATTAACTATGGTTGGCCATTCCTAATAAAAATCTGAGATTTTTTTTTGTAATAGACAATACATGGAAGTAAAATGAGGAATTTAAAAATGAATAACGAATGAGTCCACCATAGAAAACAATAGGTGGAGAACTAGAATTGAAGATTTTTTAATAATCTTCCTAACTAAAAAAAAAAAGGTTATATTCTAAATGGTTTTTCATAATTGTTGTTAATCCCACTCTACAACTTAGATAAGTCCAGAACAACAAAGCAGAAAAGTTATACCTCACCTAACTGGCAACCTCAACATTCTGTCATGTTTATTTTGCTCCTTAGAATCCCCTTACAAACTTCTCTTGCTTTCAGGAATTTCTTTTACTTTAAAAAATTATTAATAGTAGGGGCTGGGAAGTTGGCTCAGTGGTAGAGCACTTGCCTTGCATGCCTGAGGCCCTGGGTTCGATTCCTCAGCACCACATAAGCAAAAAGAAAAAAGCCAGAAGTGGCGCTGTGGCTTAAGTGGTAGAGTGCTAGCCTTGAGCTGAAGAGCTAAGGGACAGCGCTCAGGCCCAGAGTTCAGGCCCCATGACCGGACCCCAAAAAAAATTTTTAAAAATTATTAATACCCTTAAGTATATAGTTTCTTAAAAGATTAGGAGCAGCTAATAATATTAAGTGCACACTTAATATCATTAAGAAGTGACAATAAAAACACAAGAAAATGAGCTATAAAAAGCAGAGTCACACACAAAAAGGCACAGTCACAGAAGTGGCATCGTGGATCAAGTGGTAGAGCACTAATCTTGAACACAAAGAAGCTCAGAGACAGCACACAGACCCTGAGTTCTAGCCCTAGCACCGGCCAAAAAAATCAGAATCAAGGGATTGGAGGTTTGGCTCAGGTGGCAGAGTGTAAGCCAATGAGCTAAAGCGTCAGATATTGAGTTGGAGTCCAGGTCTCAGACAAAAAAAAAAAAAAAAAGCAGAATCAAAAACTTCAAATAGAACCAATAACATACAGAGCAAATCATCCCAACTTTCTTAAAGCAACTTAAAGCATCACCAACAGAAACTATTCAAATATAACATTCTCATTTATTGATTATACCTCAATAAAACTCTGGAGAAAAAAAAATCCAAAATCACAAAACAAACAAGACTATTCAGTCATTGACCTTAAGTGTTCAAAAGCTATCTTTGGATCTAAATACCCTTTCCACTAAAATGCACATGGGAATTATTTAAGATAGCTATAACACATATGTCATGAGCCAGGACTATACTATCTTGAAAACTAAGTTGCATATTTAAATTCTAGTACTAAAAGCATAGCCTTTCTTTCTGGCTTTGCAAAACAGAGGCAATAGCAAAAGGGAAAAAAAAGTCCAGAAACATACACAAAAGTACTTAGATAACATACCTGCATGGAAAGGCAAAAAGAACAGAGAACGCTAAAGGCTAAATTGGTTGTCTACAACCTCTTGTAAGCTTCTTCAACTTAACCTCTCAGATTTAGTTTGTGATTGCAGACATCACCAAAACTTACAGAACTACAGGTACTTTTAAGCTGTAATTAATTATTCAGAAAAGGTGGAGATGAATAGTGAAGTGAAAGCCAGATGTTCTTATTTCAGTCAATATCCTTAAAGTGAAACAGCTTAAATATACATTTTATACAAACATAGTAAAAAATTCAAGTAGCTGAAACTTGGAAATTTTTTTCAACATTAACAGATTGAATTTTATGTTTCATCATTATCAGACCTCATTTTGTATTTTTTTTTTTTTTTGTCGGTCGTGGGGCTTGAACTCTGGGCCTGGGTGCTGTCCCTCAGCTCTTCAGCTCAAGGCGAGCGCTCTACCACTTGAGCTACAACGCCACTTCCTCATTTTGTATTTTTTAATGAAAAGGTGAGAGAAGACTCACCTTGATTGAAAGTCTTCATTATCTGTGCTTGTCCGAGGACTTATGAGTAGATGACAAATTAAGGGAAAACAACTTTAGGACAGGAGAGAATACTGTCCTGCTTTTAGTATAGTCTTCTGTTTTGCAGTCCTAATTGGCCCTGACTTGCCTGAGAGCCGCAAATTCCATCAGTCTTTGCTGGTCTGTCAAATCATTTTTTACCCTTTTACTTACCTTATCACAGCCCAAGAGACTCAATGTTCCTTTTCTTCCTCTTGTAGACAATACAGGCTTGGGAACTATAAATTCTTTTGTGGCATAAGATATCTCAGTCACTATGTAAGTTAAAAAGAAAATAATGCCATGTACTGGTAGCTGGTAGCTACTCCAGAGACTGAGAACTGAGGATCATGGTTCAAAGCCAGTCTGGCCAGGCAAGTCCATGAGATGCTTAGCTCCAATTAAACACCAAAAGTAGGAAGTAGAGCTTAGCCTCAAGTGGTAGAATACCAGCCTTGTGCAAAAAAAGCTCAGGGACAATGCTCAGGCCCCTGAGTTCAAGCCCCAGGAGTGGCACAAAAATAAATTAAATATATAAGCACATATATAAATACATAACTAGAAAGCAAGTTTCTCATTTTTTAGATTTCATATACTTGAAAGAATGATCCGGAAACACAATTTTAAAGCTAATAAGCTCCTAAGTATTTTATATCACATATTATAAAGGTTCCTTCATATTGCAAACATTCCTTCAGACTGATTGAAATTAATATTAAGATGAAAAGGATATTGTTTCTTCTCTTCCTTTCCTCCTGAACTGTCCCGTTTTTCTTTCTTTTCTATCTTTTCTTTATCATGCCTGGACTCCTATAAGGAATGGTGGATTAGTTGGGACACTGAACACCAAATATTAAAAAAAAATTATCAGCTCAACATTCCACCACCCACCAGCCATAGCTTTTTTCAAAAAAAAACTTAATGTGACACCAAAAGTACATACAAAAAAAAAAAAAAAAGATTCAGTGGACTCTGTCAAAAGGAAAATGTCCCTGTGTTAAAAGTCGCTATCAAGAAAGTGAAAAGGCAGCCTATGGAATGGGAGAAAATATTTGAAAATTATAGCTGGATACCATTGTCTCGTGCCAAACTCAGATTTGAAGATCACAGTTCACAGACAGCCCCAGACAGAAAAGTCTGATGGACTGACTCTTATCTCCAATAAAACAGCAAGAAAGCTGAACTGGAGGCATCACTTACGTGGCAAAGTTCCAGCTGTAAGGGAAAAATTCTGTGCAAGAAAAGAGTTCCTGAATCCCAGCCCCAGAAATGACACAAGACAAATAAATATATATCATATGTGAGTCTAGTATTCAGATATAGCTAGATACTATTTATATATCTTAACAAAGACACAAATTTTACACCTTCATAAACTGTTGATAGAAATATAAATTATAGCCAGGTGCTGGTGGCTCATGCCTGTAATGCTAGCTACTCAGGAGGCTGAGATCTGAGGATCAAGGTGCAAAGCCAGCCAAGGCAGAAAAGTCCATGAGACTCTTATCTCCAATTAACCACCAGAACTGTGAGCACTGTGGCTCAAGCTGAAGAGCTCAAGGGCAGCGCCCAGGCCCAGAGTACAAACCCCATGACCAACCAGAAAAGAAAAGAAGAGAGGAGAGAAGACGGGAGAGGGGAGAGGGGAGAGGGGAGAGGGGAGAAGGGAAGGGGAAGGGAAAGGGAAAGGGAAAGGGAAGGAAAAATTATGAGCCAGGCATCAGTGAATCACACTTGTAATTCTAGTTACTCAGATGGCTGAGGTCTAAGGATGGCATTTTGAAGCCAGCAGGGCAGGAACATCCATTAGACTCTTAGGCTTAATTAACTACCAGAAATAAACCAGAAGTGGCACTGTGGTAGAGCACCAGCCTTGAACAAAAGAGCTGTGTGACAGCACCCAGCCCATGACTTTAAGCCCAAGGAACACGAGAGAGAGAGACAGACAGAGAGACAGAGAAAAGAAAAAAGAAAGAAAGAAAGAAAGAGAGAAAGAGAGAAAGAGAGAAAGAAAGAGAGAAAGAGAGAGAGAAAGAGAGAGAGAATGGGAGAGAGAAAGGGAGAGAGAAAGGGAGAGAGAAAGGGAGAGAGGTAGAGAAGGAAGGAGAGAGAAAGGAAGAGAGGAAGAGAAGGAAGGGAAGGAAGGAAGGAAGGAAGGAAGGAAGGAAGGAAGGAAGGAAGGAAGGAAGGGAGGGAGGGAGGGAGGGAGGGAGAGAGGGAGGGAGGGAGGGAGGGAGGGAGGAAGGAAGGAAGGAAAGAAGGGAGGAAGGAAAGAAGGGAGGGAGGGAGGGAGGGATATAAATTGTACAGCTCAGCCTCCATGGAAAAATAGTTTGGCAATTCCTCAAGAAGCTAAACATAAAATTATATAACCCAGAAGTTCCTTTCTTGGGTGGAATTAACAAAGATATTCAAATATTTCATAGCAGCACTATTCACAATAGCCAAAAGGGTGGAAACAACCTAAAAATTTAGCACCTGATACATGGTCAAAGTGTTACATTCACGTAATAGAATAATAAAAATAGTGTAGTAATAAGATATTACAACATAAAAGAACCTCGAAAACATTCTTCTAAGTGAAAAACAACAAATGCAAAAGGCACTATTATTGTAAAATTACATTTATATGAAATTATTTTTTAAAAAATAAGTAAATCCACAGAGACAAAAAGCAGATCAGCAGTTGTCCACGGCTGGTGGAAAGAGATGTGTGGATTGACAGTTGTCATAAGTATAGGCTTTTCCTTTGGGACAACTAAAATGTTTTGGACATATAAAACTGCACACAATGTTATAAATATATTAAATACTGCTAAGTTGTATAATTTCCCTGAGCTACTTTGCTAGCACTCTACCACTTGAGCCATAGCTTCACTTCCAGCTTTTTGGTGGCTAATTGGAGATAAGGGTCCTGCCCAAGCTGGCTCAGAATCTCCATCCTCAGATCTCAGCTTCCTAAGTAGCTAGGATTACAAGTGTGAGGCACTGGTGCCCAGCTAAATTGTATGTTAAGCAGTTAATTTAATATACGAATTTTGCTCTAATTAGAAATAAGGGCCAAGCACCAATAGCTCATGCCTATAATCCTAGCTACTCAGGAGGCTGAGATCTGAGGATATCCAAGCCAGCTCTAGCAGGAAAATCCATGAGTGCCTTTATCTCCAATAAACTCTATCAAAAAGCTGGAAGTGGAGCTGTGGATCAAGCGTTGTTGCACTAGTCTTGAGCAAAAGAAGCTCAAAGACAGTGCCCAGGTCCTGAGTTCAAGCAGTAGGACTGGCACACACATTTACCAAAAAGCAAAAACAACAACAAAAACACTGAGAAGCAGCAGCCTATCTTTAATTCTCATATAGAATTAAATCACGCATCTTTAAATTTTCTAAAACTGCTTTTATGAACTACATATATGCTACATATCTTTTGAATTCATAAAATACTGCTTTGTAAACATTTTATACTTTAGCAGTAGCTTATTACTTTATGGAACATAGATTTAATTTGTATGTCATTCATTAATATATAAAAAATGTATCTTACACTTCGTTTTAAAAGCAGATGTCAAGTTTCCAACAAATGAGCTTATTCAGATAAAATATTTCATATCATATTTAATGAAGACTTTTGACACTGATAGAGAAAATATATTTCAATATTTTATTGCCTAATCTCATTTTAACTTCAAAAATAAAGAAACTAAATGCAAATAATTTTAAATGGACAAAAAAGCAAAATACAAAGAAAGGTTAAATCACAAAGAACTAAAGTGGATAGGAATGAAATATAGAGGAAAAAGAAACTTAGAGGTATAGTAACTCTAGCTTCTTAATAATTTAGAATTGATCTGGTTCAAATTCCCCAAACAACTTGCCCTCCCCCAGTATATCCTCTTCCTATGTCCTAATAATTTTTTTAAAAAGGCTACTTGACTAGGACAAAAAATATGTACGAAGTTTTTAAAGAGTTGTCTTTTTTTAATATCGTTTTATTGTTACTGTTGTGTCATACAGAGGGGTTACAATTCTGTAAGTCAGGTAATAGGTACAATTCTTCTTGTTTTTCCAAGAAGAGTCAATTTTTTTTAAAAGAAAAGATAGACTGTTTGTGCTCATAATTTACCTTTTTGCCACCGGAGGATAGTTTATCCATCTTCTCAGATTTAAATGAGTCACCACTTTTTTCTTTGCCTGAAGATTTTGACTTATTTTTTTCCTTGTCTTTCTCATTTGGATAAGGAGACTCACATGGACTTTCACTTTTGTGTTTTGAAACCCCCACTAAAATTACAAAAGAGGATCATGAAAGCCTTTTCAAATTCACTTTGACGATTGCTTCCAAGGTATCAGTAAGTCCACCTACTTGTTCCATTTTCCTCTTTCCGCCTCTTGGTTAAGTCCGGTGGTACTTCACGGTCATTGTTTGAGTGATCCTAGAACCAAGAATTGTGAACTACATTGATCACAAGTTTACGTTTTTTGTTATAAAGAATTATTCTTACACAAGAAAGGCACAGCTAACTAGAATTGGAGAATATTTGCAGTAGTTTCACATACTTGGTAAAATGGCATGACAGATAAGCAGAGCTGGTAGAGATTACTAAGCTGAAGATCCTTATTACTGTAGAAGATGCAAACACACTTCAGTGTGAAAATATCAGTTAAAATGACACAGTATGCTACAGAATAAAGTAGTAATTTTTAAAAAGCAATAAGCACACTACTATACATGATAATGAGCTTTCCAAACTAATTTAAGAAAATTACAAACCCTTTTCCGCTCTTTCCTGTCCTTTTCATCTTTTTTCTCTCTTTCTCTGGATCTTTCCCTTGACTTGTCCAACTCTTTCTTGTCCATTTCTCTCTCCTTACTCTTGGACATTGGTGGAGGAGTATGATTAATGTAGAGCTGTTAAATTAAGGCAATATTACTAAAGATTATTAGTTTTCCAGTATTGGCATCTTGTGGTTTTGTTTATTAATTGAAAGACAAATATGAAGTCAGAACTGGTCAGCTCTCTGTATGAGAGGCAAACCGAAAGAGCATGATACCAATTACATAAATATTCATGGCCTCATTTAATTCCTATTCAAACTCAATCAGTTCATTACTGCCTCAACTGAAACGCCTCAGTAAATTCACAAGCTAGAGTTCATCTTATCACTCCATTACAATGACATATGACCACCGTTACAAAAACGTAAGTAAAAATTTATGACTGGACTTTCTCCAAAGTAAAAAACAAAACACAAACCTCAATTCAATCATAAAATTTTACTATTCATTCCTAGGTAGTCAATAACAGTGGGGAAAGGTATACAAACAAAATCTAGCTCGGATTTTACTAATACGTCCTTTCTGTCTCAGTAAAAACCCCAAGCAATGATCATTCCAAATTATTTTTTTCCAAATATAAAAATTGATACATATCCTCTTCTTCCGAAAATTTTTCTTTGCCAGTCCTGGTGCTTGAATTCAGGCCTCTGAACACTGTCCATGAGCTTCTTTTGCTCAAGGATAGCACTCTACCACTTGAGCCATAGCATCATTTCCAGCTTTTTCTGTTTATGTGGTGCTAAGGAATCGAATTCGGGGCTTCATGCATTCTAGGAACTCTACCACTAAGCCACATTCCTAGCCCTCAAAAGTACTCCAATTCTATCAAATAGAACTCATTGTGAATTCTCTTACTGGTTCTAAATAGATTTTTTTTTAAAAAAAAAAAACTGTATTCTGTCAGGAGAAGGTGATTAAACTACTGCTTCTACCCTTTCACTTGTCAAAAGGTCCACAGGCAGTAAATTTTTTTTAAGCCAATTATCGGGGACATCCTAAGGCTAAATAACTGAGAGATAATATGGAAATCAACCATAAAAAGTTATTTAGGAAGTGGTCAAGGGGCTGGGAAGATGGCTCAGTAGCAGAGTGCTTGTCTTGCATGCATGAGGCCCTGGGTTCGATTCCTAAGCACCACATAAACAAAAAGCCAGAAGTGGCGCTATGGCTCCAGTGGTAGAGCGCTAGCCTTGAGCTGAAGAGCTGAGGGACAGCTCCCAGCCCCAGAGTTCAGGCTCCATGACCAACCAAAAAAAAAAGGAAGTAGTCAATAAATAATCCAATATTTGATTTTATGGCATTTATAAGTATACTATAAGTTTATACTTAATTTGATAACAAAGTTTTAGGCAACAGAATATGGAGTTTTATATTACTTTATAATTCTAGATATACGTTAAAAATGAATAGAATCAAATGAATAAAAAATGTTTTGACATGAAATAATCCTTTGATATTAAAAGGAATAAAAAGAGCCATCAGTTTGAGAATTATCAGTAGACATTTTCTATTCAATTGGCTCAGAAATGTCATAGCAATGCAAAAGTGTTTAAAAAATGATCAACTGAAATAGACAAAATGTTTACTACTATCAAAGAGCAAGAGAATAAATATCAAAGTATTTCTCTAAAATATACTCTTGCTTGGTATGACACTTTTAATGACACTTAAAAGATTTTTAGACTCTATCATCTCTTAAGGTAGTATTATTCAGGATACTAAAAACATAAAATCAATAAAATATTATTGCAATTCTCAAAAGAATTCTTTAGGGGCTGGGATGGTGGCTCAGTGGTAGAGTGCTTGCCTTGCATGCATGAGGCCCTGGGTTCGATTCCTAAGCACCACATTAGCAAAAAGAAAAAAAGCCAGAAGTGGCGCTGTGGCTCAAGTGGTAGAGCGCTAGCCTTGAGCTGAAGAGCTGAGAGATAGCGCCAGGGCCTAGAGTTCAGGCCCACCCCCCCCACCAAAAAAAAAAAAATAATTCTTTAAAGAAAGTACTGTTTCTTTTTTCCCCACTAAAAGCAAAAACATACAGAAGTTGAGGTGTTTCGTGCATACAAACATCCACACACATGCTGATGACATTTTCTTGTGTGCCTACTTGAATTAAGAATTTTTCAAGGACTTGATTATGACACAAATATTGACGTATTATTCCATTCTTGACACAAAAAGTCCAATGGCTCAACTGATACACAATCTTCTTTTGTTTGTTTAGAAATATATCCAATTCAACCAGGCCCTAGTGGGTCACACCAGTAATCTTAGCTACTCAGGAGGCTGAGATCTGCAGATTGTGGCTTAAAGCCAGCCTAGGCAGGAAAGTCTGTGAGATTCTTATCTCCAATTAATCACAGAAAATGCTAGAACGGGTGCTGTGGCTCCGGAGTGCTAGCCTTGAATGAAAGGAACTCAGGGATAGTGCCCAGGCTCAGTGCTTAAGCCCCACGATCAACAACAACAAAATTTCTTCTTTCTACCCTTCCAATACCTTTGTCCATAAAAGTTTCTCTCCATCTGTTGAATGAATTGCTTATTCCTACTTTAGGCATCCCAAATTCTCCAAAATCATTTCAGAATTCTACGCTACCATTCAACAACCAAAATAACTGACTTGCATTTTCTTCCTGTTACTCTTCTCTAACTCCAATCCTTTCCAGCAGTCTATTTATTAGAATGGTACATACTTTTAATTTCTTAAAAACCTACTTAACTCTTCAAAGACAGGTCAATAGCCATCAATTCTTAAACCATCACTCACTCTGCAATTCACATTCCAATGAACTCTTGTACTATGTATTTATCTTTTTGTTATAAGTATTCCCTATTAATTTCATGTCATTTACTTTTGTCCAAAATAGGTTACAGTATATTAAGCCAGAATACCTTTCTGCTTTTATATACTTCCCCCATCTTCTCATTTGCCAAATAAAGTTAGTGAGTTGTCCAATGTAGCATTGTTGGATTTTGTATATACTACAAAAGTAAGAAATTTGAGGTATGGGGGGGGGGGGGGGGGGGGGGTTGGGAGTGATGCAAGAGAATGATGGAAGGGATGACATTGATCAAGATGGATTGTAGGCTGGGTGCCCGGGCTCACGCCTGTAATCCTGCTACTCAGGAGGCTGAGATCTGAGGATCGCAGATGGAAGCCAGTCTGGGGAAGAAAAGTCCCCAAAGTTCCTGTGTGCCTTTCATCTCTAATTAACCACTCAAAAACTGGAAGTGAAGCTGTGACTCAAAATGGTAGAGCACTAGTCTTGAACAAAATTGCTCAGGGACAGCGCCCAGGTCCCAAGTTCAAGCCCCACAACCAACCAAACCCCCCCCCCCCAAAAAAAAAGAAAGAAAAAAAAAGATGCATTGTATTCATAAACTGCTTTATTGAAAGCAACTCCTCTGGACAACTACTTAAAGATAATAAAATTTTAGGCTCACATAACAGAGCATATTTTAAACACACTTTTCATCACATGTAAGTACTAGGATTGCTATATCTCCTAACACAACTAACCAAAAGTGGAAATACAACAGTTGAAAGTTGAGATGGAAAGTGGGCTAATTTTTTTTTAATATTAACTTAAGATTTTTCTCCCTTTAATCTCACCTGCAAGCTCAAATCCTTGTATATAGAATGAGGTACATAAACTTGCAGCTGAGTTAGTATCACTCAGCATCTTTCTTAAAACATTATTAAACAACTAGTTATTCTCACACCAACCCTGCAGTACTGTAGGGGACATTAGAGCTGCCAGTACAACAGATGTGAAGATGACAAAGATCTATGGACTGGCAACAACATCCCTGTGGTAGTAACTGATTGAACTACATTAACCACATTATAGAAACTCTCATAAAACAAAAGATAGACACATAAGGTCCAGCATAGCCCTGATACTAAGCACAACTCAATCTCCAAAATCATAGTACAGACCTAAGTATAATAAACATGGACAGAACCAGCAAACCACAGCACACACAAGAAAAGTCTGTGATCTGGGAACCATGGCACCAGAACAAGAATGCATTTTAGGAAATGGAAGACACCACACATTAAGTAGGGAGTGTTTGAGAAGCAGGTGAGAAGGGGGTGGGGAGTGCTTGTTAAAAGCCTAGACCCCAGACACCTCTGAATAGAGGACTGTGGTTCAAAGACAGTCTGAGAGATTACATACCCAAAGAAAAAGGTCAGGCTGGAGAGGTAGCCTAAGTGGTACACTGATAGCCAGTCAAGACAGAGGCTCTAAACATGTTTTCTTTCAGATGCAGAAGCAAGACTGGGGCACGATAATTATACAGGACTCTAGGCATTCAGTGAGATACTCTTCGAGGAAGAACCCAAAGACATAAAGCCTCTAAACATTTAAAATACTATTTATCAAAACAAATTCCAGGAAATGTAAACAGGGGTTTTTGTTGGTAGTAATGGTGATGTTTTTGCTTTTTGTTTTGTTTGTTCTTTTTTCTGTTGGGGGGGGGCAAAAGGGGAAACAAAATAGTGGAAAAGTAAACAAACATAGTCATGGTATTCAGCAGAAACTGTGGAAAATTTACTATGCAACTTGTGGGGCAGGGATTGGAGAGGAAGGGGGGGAAGTGACAGAAGGGGTGACACTGTCCAGAAAGAAATGTATTCATTACCTGACGTATAAAACAGTAATCCTGAGAATGTGGCTTAGTGGTAGCGTGCTTGTCTAGCATGCATGAGGCCTTAGGTTCAATCCCTTGGTACCATATAAACAAAAAATAAATAAAATAAAATGGTAACCCCTCTGTACAACACCTTCATAATAACAATAAGATTGCACTTTTAAAAGCTTGTCAGAAACTGGTAGCTCAAGCCTGTAAACCTAGCTACTCAGGAGGCTGAGATCTGAGGATCATGGTTCAAAGCCAACCTGGGCTTCTGCCCAGGAGACTATCACCAAAAAGCTAGAAGTGGAGCTGTGGCTCAAGAGGTACAGTGCTAGCCTTGAGCAAAGAAGCTCAGGGACAGCGCTCAGGCCCTGACCTGAGTAAACAAGCTCTAGGACTGGTACCAAAAAAAAAAAAAAAAAAGATTCTGAAAAGAACTGTGATACAGATTAAAATCTTTCACCTTAATAACAAAAGGAGGGAAGGGTGAAGAGGGGGAGCACTAAATTCAAATCCCAGTACCTGCAAAATGCAAAGTCCAGAAAATGACGCTGTGGCTCAAGTGGTAGAGCACTTGCCTTGAGCTGAAGAGCTCAGGGACAGCGCCCAGGCTCAGACTTCAAGCCCCACGAATGACCAGGGAAAAAACAAAAAGAAAAAAAAGGAAAAAAGAAAGCAAAGTTCAGGCTGGTTCCTCTATATTTTTACTATGGCAAATAGTGCTGCAAGGAACATGTTTTTGCTAGTGGCTTTACTGTAGCCCTGTTTGTGTTCTATTGGATAAATGCCCAGGAGTAGAATTGCTGGGACATGGGGTTGTTCTATGTTTATTTTTTTGAGGACTTTCCAATATTGCTTCCCAGAGTGGTTGAACAAGCTTACATTCCCACCAACAGTGTAATAGAGTTCCCTTTTGGCCACATCCCCACCAGCATGTGTTATTGTTAGTTTTTTGATAATGGCCACTCTAACTGGGGTGAGATGGAATCTCAGTGTTGTTTTGATTTGCATTTCCTTTAAGGCTATGGATGCTGAATATTTCTTCATGTGTCTATTGGCCATTTTTACTTCTTCTTCTGGGAAGTCTCTCTGTAATTCATTAGTCCATTTATTAATTGGATTGTTGTTTCTTTGAGGGTTTACAAATAGATTAAGAAAATGTGGTATGTATGTGTGTGTGTGTATACCTGAATTTTACTTATCCATTAGAAAGAATAACATTACACCATTCATAAGGAAATGGAAAGACTTTGGAAAAATTACATTAAGTGAAGTAAGCCAGATTTGGGAAAAAAAAAAAAAGGTTGCATGGTTTCTCTCATTTTTGGTAGCTAGAATGTGCCTATAAAAAAATCTGTAAGTAAAAACACTAGGTGGTATGCAAGTGGTTACAAATGAATTAATCTGAAGTATAATAGACTCTATGGAGAGCTCAAATAGTATAACTCTTTACAAAGACTAAATCAAAGCCCAAGGGAAAAAAAAGCACCCGGAAATGAGTAATTGCAAAAGGGACAGAGCAAGGGGAGAGGGGTAGATGAAGGAAAGGGGGAAGGAAAAAGAATACAGTCAGAAATTCATTGTATGCACCACAAATTAAGAAAAATAAGGGAGGGGGATTGAGGGGGGGAGTGTTGAAGGAGATGACACAGATCAAGATACACTGTATACATAAACTGCTTTGTAGACTAGCAACTCCTTCATCCAATTACTTAAAGGTACTAAAAATATTTTCAAAAAGAAAAATCTATATAATTTTTCCTATGGACTAAAACTGAAACTAGCAAGTAATAAAAAGTATAGTAATATAAAGCGTAACTAAAAGGTCACACTAAAGCAAGAAAACAACTTTATATGCATAATTAACAAGATAGCATGAAAAACAGACAGCTTTAACAGTGGTGGGAAACTATCTGGCTCAGAGGCTGTATAAGGCCTGAAAAATTATTCAGTAGATGATGAGATAGACAAATATGCTTCCCATATGCTTCTACTCAGCTGCCCATGCTATGTACCTGTACTGATAATTTTGCATGGCCTGTACATAAATATCCAAATGGCCCTTGGCAGGTAAAATGTTCTGCTGTGAGTCTAGAAGATAACAGCTAACTCAGAAACATTGAGATTATAGGTAATCAATTTTAGAGACTAAATTTTGATAAAAAAATTTATTTCAATGTATTCAACTCTAGTAAATTTCCTAGAAATGTAAAAATGCAACATCAGGTACTATACAAATCAATACTCTGGATGGTTTACCAGAATGCAAAAACTTAAGGATTCATTTCAAATGGTTACTGAGTATCTAATCTTATTGCCAAGCACTACAATAAATGTAGTTCACTAATATGAAAAGTGGTATGAGGAGCTGGGAAAGTGGCTCAGTGGTAGAGTGCTTGCCTTGCATGCCTGAGGCCCTGGGTTCGATTCCTCAGCACCACATAAGCAAAAAGAAAAAAGCCGGAAGTGGCACTCTGGCTCAAGTGGTAGAGTGCTAGCCTTCAGCTGAAGATCTGAGGGACAGCGCCCAGGTCCAGAGTTCAGGCCCCATGACCGGACCCCCCCCCCCAAAAAAAAGTGGTATGAGTCACATAATTTTAGTGGCATATTTATATGCCTTTTTCAAAATTTTCTGGTTACATGTGAAATAAATGTATTGAATTTTAAATGAACAGAAATAATTTTTTAGGTGGAGAAATTGACATGAATTACTATTTTAAAAAAAAGTTGGAGCTGGGTGCTGGTGGCTCACGCCTGTAATCCTAGCTACTCAGAAGGCTGAGATCTGAGGATCTCAGTTCAAAGCCAACCCGGGCAGGAAAGACTGTGAGACTCCTGTATCTAATAAACCACCAGAAAACCGGAAGTGGCACTGTAGCTCAAGTGGTAGAGCACTCACCTTGAGCTGAAGAGCTGAGGGACAGTGCTCAGGCCCAGAGATCAAGCCCCATGACCGACAAAAAAAAAAAAAAAAAAGTTGGGTGCTGGTGGCTCACAGGTGTTATCCTAGCTACTATGGAAGCTAATATCTGAGAATTTGCAGTTAAAAGCCAGCCTGGACCAAAAAATCTATGAGACTTTTACCTTCAATTAACCACCTGAAAACCAGAAGTGGCACTGTGACTCAAAGTGGTAAAACACTAGCCTTGAGCAAAAGAGTTCAGGGACAGGACTCAGGGCCTAGTTCAAGCTCAGTACCAAAAAAAAAATAAATAAATAAATAAAATATAAGCCTGGCACTGGGCGCACAGCATAATCCTAGCTACTCAAGAAGGCTGAGATCTGAGGATTAGGATACTCTCATTTCCAATTAACCACAAAAAGCCAGAAGTGGACCAGTGGCTCAAGTGTTGGAGTGCTAGCCTTGAGCACAGAAGCTCAAAAACAGCTGGGAGTGGCTCAACCTATAATTCTAGCTACTCAGGAGGCTAAGAGCTGAGGATCATAGTCCAAATCCAGCTGGGACAGAAAAGTCCCCACAGCATTTTTATCTCAAATTAACCACTCAAAAACCAGAAGTGGAGCTGTGGCTCAGTGGTAGAGCATTAGCCTTGAGCACAAAGAGGTTCAGGGACAGTACCCAGGTCTAGAGAAGAAAGAAGAGGGGAGAGAGGAGAAGAGAGGAGAGAGGAGGGAAGGAAGGAGATAAATCCATCATCAGAGCTAGGAAACCTTTCTTCTACTGTTGCTAATACCTGATGAACCTAAACTTTCCTTTACATTTGGTATTAACAAGTTATATGCCATCAGGAAAGGCTGAAGAACTTTTGATCTTTCATTTATCAAAAAGACACTACCATCTGCCCTATTTAACTTTACATCTGTTATGAACATGACATAAGATGAATATACATTATCTCACACAATGTTCCTATTCAGAAGACTTTCAAAAAGTGAAGAAATGTAATCATCATCAAATTTAAGAAAATACAGTTAATTTTAGTAGCCTGTTTTAAGCTACTTAAAGTGTGTTTCAGAAATACTCACAAATTAAGACTTTTAGTCCATGAATAAAATAGCCCATATAAGCCATTAATGGTCATGACTTGTAACAAATTCCAAATGGTTATGAAGACCAACTACACTACAATATTTCATGTAGCCAATAAAATATTTTACTCTAAAACACAGCACACATAATATGGCTGACACTCTTTAATTAATACATACTCAAAAAACAGTGCTATAGTTTTAGGGCACAGGCACATTGGCTAATCTAAACTGTTAAAAATCAGTGCTTACCCCATCCACTGAGCTATATCACTCACCCCCACTTTAATCATGTTCCCCAATAAAACTTGCATTATATCTAAAAAAATATCAGTGCTGATTTGCTCAAAATCACAGACACTTCCCTAGAAAGTTATAGATCTAAAAGCAGTAACACTGAGTGGCTGTTTCAAAATTCCATTTGGTCCATCAATAAAGAATCATACTTAGAAAAAAATAGGAGACAATGTACGAAGTCAAAGGAGAGCACAAATTTTATAATAAAAACAAAATGAAACTAACAACAGCATTTTAACTATAATATTGAAATGAACTTTGTAATTAGATACATAAACTGCATACTATTTTTAGTTGAATAACCAGTAAAGGAAAACAGGTAAAAATTAATATTAACCTATAAACACAACTACCAATTTGATTGCTCCCTTCAAGAGGCATAATTACTTTACATTTACTATACTTGCTGAAATTATGCTACAACTACCAAAAAGAAAACTCAGCAGAAGGAGATATAAAGAATTTTGTAGACTACAATAGGACTTCATTTCTATGTGAATGCAGCAAATAACTTTCTTGGTCCTTTGAGATGTCTAAGAACAGCCAGAAAATAGTCCTTCCTTAATTTCACAAGGCAAATTTGCCAGGTTTGTTTGTAAAATTAAAGCAGCTTACTCCACCTAAACAAACCAGTAACTTCTTCTGCCCCAAATCTTAAGCTTAATGCCAGATTCTGAAGCACAAAGGAGAATGCGTTATACACCCAACAAATATAGATGATAGAAATGTTGCCACATCACATGTATTTTATAACAATCTCTCTAAAAGAGATCACTGCCATCTGTTCTTTTAGTTTGCAATAGGAACTTATGAAGGTTATTCTAATCACAATACTTCTTTCCAAGTAATCCTAGCTGACTGAATTTACTAGGGAAGGGTCATCTACAAAACAAAAGGAGTTGTTTGTTTACTTAGGCATTTTTAAAAGACTCAAACCTTTGATGAAGACTCCTTGAGTTCGATGAGACTGTCCTGTAGAAAATGAATGGAGATGACAGGTGAGCTGGCATAGTTCTCAGAACCCAGAGGAACTTTGGGAAGTACAGTTGTGACCTGGAAATAAACCGGCTATTCCTTGTGAAGATAAATTCCATAATATCATTAGTAATATGGACACCAACAATAAAAACAAAAACAAAATTATGTAATGGTATAGTAATGGTTTAAAAAAAGTAAATTAGATGTACTCTATGTATGAAAGAAAAATTTTACACTTTCTGACCAAAAGTTAAAAATAAAGGTCAATGCCACATTTTTCATATTTCATGCTTAATGTAATTTTAAAAGCTTAAGAAAGCAAAATATTTTTCTCCACAAAAAGATTTAAATAGTGGAGGTCACAGCTGAAGAACAATACTGTTATGTTATCATAGTTATCTTTTAATTGGAAGGTTTTAAATTTTACTTTACTTTTAACTCTAAAATAAACATGTATTTTCATTCTAAATATAACTCAGTGGCATTGTATTATAAGACAACAAAACATATACTGTATAAAAGAGAAATAACTTTTTTGTAAAGTTCCTAAGATTGGTGAATTTCATACCTCCAACAAGAAAAAAAAACACCAAAATGAAAAGAGAAAAGAAGAAAAACAAATCAACTATGGTATTCCACCACAGTGTTCTTGATGAAGAATTAGTAACTTACAGTTTCAAAAGTTCAACGTACTGCAAATTCAAAGATTCCATGAAATTAGATGACTTTAGAATTAAAATTAAATATGGAGCAAGGAATGGCTACCCTGAGTCTTCAAGAAGGCTACACCCACGATTTTGTGCTGCAGTTGAATGCCTGCGGTTTCTCTTTGCTGGGTGGTAGGATTGGATGCCACATCTGCTTTTATCGTAACGCAAGGTTCAACTTGGTGGGAACCCAATGGGTATAAACAAACCTCCAAGGGAAGAAACAACTGAAGCTGCATGCTCACTGAATATACACAACTACAGGAGAACTGATCACCAAGGAGACTTTAAAATGGAACTCCTTTCAAGACTCCTTCTTAGAAGGCACATCGGTATGATGCTCATCAAGAAGCTTGATGAATTCAGAGGTATCTTGTGTAATCCTGTAATCATCCAGGAAGTCTTCAGTAATACACATTCTTCGATATTTATGCCGAAAAATAGCTTCGTTCTGCTGAAAATATTCTTTTGCTGTTGCTACCATTGCACTCCAAAAAAACTGCGTAAAGCAGTGAGGCACTTCTGGGTAAAATTTCTCTTGCACTTTGATACATTAGAAAATTAGTGCTAGGTCCTTGAAGTTTTAACATTTTTATAATAAAAATACTCAATGGGAAAAATATCAGTCCACCAATACAGAAAAACATTCATTTCTAATGATATATAAAATTTTCAGTGGCTTCAGTGAATACTTGGCACAAGACTTGAAGGAAGTCAGGACACTGGTATTCCAAACACGAGAGCCTAATAAAGATGCTGCCTTCTTCAGGCTATACTAACCTTTACTGTGGAGGAATGTGACGGAGAAGGATGAGTATCAATTTTGCGGCGTTTCTGTTCTGTTCAGACAAAAAGAAACAGTAATATATATTTCCAGTCTTTCTGAACACTTTCAAAATGTACAACTTCTTTTTCTTTTTTTTATTGTGAAAATACTGTACAGTGGAGGGGTTACAATTACCTGGGCAAGATAATGAGTACATTTCTTATCAAGCATTGTAGCCTTCTCCTTTGTTTCCCCTTCCCATCCTCCCCCTGCCCCTGTACAACTTTTTTTTTTCAATTTTTTGGTGTTGGTCCTTGGGCTTGAACTCAGGGCCTAGGCTCTGTCCCTTAGTTTTTTTTCCTCAAGACTGGCACTCTTACCACTCGAATCACACACCTCCACTTATGGCTTTTCGGTAGTTAGCTGGAAATAAGACTCTCATGGACTTTCCTCCCCTGGCTGACTTTGAAATAAGGTCTTCAGATCTCAGCCTCCTGAGTAGCTAGGATTATAAGTGTCAGCCACTGGCACCCAGCTTAAAATGAGCAATTTTTTAAGATCAAGTATTCATTTCCCTAGCAAAATCTCTAGAAAACTTCTCAAAGTGAGGAGAAAAGAATATAACAGAGGGTAAATGAACAAGAAAAAACACACTTACCCCTTTCAGGCTCTGCATTATCTGATCGGGGAACAGGCGACTTCAAGGACCCAGAAACTGGTGTTTTTTCTCCTCCTTTAACATTTTCCTTTGATTTCATTTCCTTTGTTACATCTCTTTCTCTGGATGGCTCCTTCTCTCGTTCCCTTTCTTGAGTAGATTTTGATTCTGTGCTGGGGATAGTTGTCTTGAATTTCTCTTCTTTAGATTTTTCTTCCTTCTTGAATTTTTCTTTGTCTTTGTCAGACTTAGGTGTTCTTTCCTTGGTCTCTCTTGCTTTTTCATCTTTATTGGGCCGCTCTTCTTTTGGTTTTTCTTTACCATCTTTACCAAGTACCCTGGCCTCTGGAGTAGTAGCTGGAGTCTTTTCTTTTTTTTCTTTTTCTTTCTCTTTCCCTTTTTCTTTGTCATTTTCTTTAACAGCTTTGCTGCTTAAGAATATAAACATTAGATTTTTATCATTTATTCAAATAACCATAAAATATATTCTATGACAAAAATTTTAAAGTTTCTTAATGATAAAAAAGCAAATGATAATATCAAAAGTAAGTAAAACAGAAATATTTCCTTATCAATAAATAAGAACTCATGAGTAGCAGATTAAGAAAATGATTAATATTAAAATAACTGTTAGGGGGCTGGGAAGGTGGCTCAGTGGTAGAGTGCTTGCCTTGCATGCATGAGACCCTGGGTTTGATTCCCCAGCACCACATAAGCAAAAAGAAAAAACGCCGGAAGTGGCGCTGTGGCTCAAGTGGTAGAGCGCTATCCTTGAGCTGAAGAGCTGAGAGATAGTGCCCAGGCCCAGAGTTCAGGCCCCATGACCAGACCCAAATAAAAAAACAAAACAAACAAACAAAAAAAAAAAAAACTGTTAGGTTCTTCTTACATACCATCATATCCTTTGTGGATAACAAATTAATCAAAAATCTATCGCACAAACCAACTAAGGATGCTACTATAAGGAAATAGGTTCCTCAGCTTGAGAGAACTAATTAATAAAAAAAATTTCTGCTCTTGGGGCTGGGAAGATGGCTCAGTGGTAGAGCGCTTGCCTTGCATGCATGAGGCCCTGGGTTCAATTCCTCAGCACCATATAAACAAAAATAAAAAAGCCGGAAGTGGCGCTGTGGCTCAAGTGGTAGAGTGCTAGCCTTGAGCTGAAGGGCCGAGGGATAGCGCCCAGACCCAGAGTTCAGGCCCCATGAACGGACCCAAAAAAAAAAATTTCTGCTCTCTACCCTAGTTTAAATTGCCTACAGCATTCACTCACTATATAATATTTTTTTTACCTTAACCACCTACATACCCTTGAACATCCAGCAAAGGAAAACAAGACTATTAAACAGAACATAATTATATGAAATGAAATTAGGATGCTAACAAGTACATTATCCACACAGGGATACACACAAAATTTTAAAGCCTAAGAAACACGATTTTAATACTGATCAACTACCACCTCCCTTCTATTTATGGTTAGTGATGCCCATCAGATAAGAATTTAGGACACATATGGCACAGTATTCTCTTACCTGTTAGAGCCACTATTTCCATTGCTTGAATTCCCTTTTGGTGTGGCACTAGAAGCTTTATTAATAGCTTTCACACCACACTGAGATCTCTCCCTTGATTTATCTGAAATAAAAGTAAGGCTTTCTTTAGTAAGACCCCATATATAAATAAACTACAATTTCACAGCAAAATGATTAAAGGATAATTAGAAAGAATCATCAATTTAATTACTGAACAGTTACATGTTCCTACCTAGGGAGTAAAAAAATTATTTAATAGAGGCCAGCATTGCATTCATGATGTGATACAAAATATTCCAATGTATTATTTAAAAGTATCTACAAATAAGCATACCAGTCTCCTCAGTACTGCTTTCATCCGATTTAGATGCACTTCCTAGGGATGATGAAGAAGGCCCACCACTAGGGCCATTTTGTACACTGGCAACAGCATTCCTCGGAGGAGGGTCTTTGTGATGAAACTCATTTTCAGGTATCATGTATGACTTTTTACTTTTCAACTGCCCAGAGTAGCTGAAAGTCGCACAAAGTGTTTAAATATACAAAACACAAATCAAACAGTACAAACATGGGATTCAAAAGAATAAAATTAGCAAGTTACTCATTCTATTAATTACTTCGGAAACAAAAAATATTAATGTTCAGTAACTTCTTCAGGATCTTTATAAAGAATACTAATTTCTTACATAAAAATTTCAAACTAATTTTTAAACTAAAATGACTTTCAACTTTTTGCTCTTGAAGATCTCAAAATCCAAGTATAATGCTAAAAATTACATTTCCTCCCATTTGAGACATATTACATGTGTCTTTTGACACTGTCATCTAGTATAGACCGGAAGTTGATCATCAGAAGTGACAACTCTCACCAGCCTGTGGGAAAATAATCTCTTATAATCTCCTGAAGTACAAGGAAGAAAATAAACTTCAACACTGTGAAACATTTTAAGGTCCTCAGAATCCTTTGTAATCTAATCTCACAAATCACATTTAAAGTATAATTTTGTTACCCCATCGCCAATGCATATAGATCTGGCCTCTTCTCTTTTTCTTCTTGGCAGATTTTATGTACTCTTCTTTCCAAAGCCTGACCCAGATTCAAAACTTTTGGGTACCAAGGAAGTATTTTTGTTAGCACAATCAAGATATTCCTGATGTGAGTATATTCGCCTGTTTCAAGGCAATGCACTGATGCCTACAACAAACATTGTATGAGGCATTATTATAAAAATACAAGGAGGATAAGAAAATTATTACTCACAAAAAATGTATTTTTTACCTTGGTTAGCTTATAATGCCACTTATGAACAACATGTCGAAAATTTTCATAATCTAATTGATCAGCTTTATTTCCACCATCAAATCCAGTCGCCCGTAATATAGTAAGAAATCCTGGATAGTTTCCACATTCCTAAGAAAGGTTGTCACTTTTAAAAATCATGTTATGCTCCACAAAATACCCAAAGCTGAAACTTAAGTAGACTAGATTAATAATTCCACATAAAAATATGTGTATTTGGATAGGTAGCCTTCTCAGTTAGTTTCTCTTACTTAATGGTACTAAAAATGTCAATTTGAAACAGAATTAAAGTTACCATTAAAAAAAATTTTTTTTTTCTGTCAGTCGTGGGACCTGAACTCTGGGCCTGAGCGCTGTCCCTCAGTTCTTCAGCTCAAGGCTAGCACTCTAGTACTTGAGCCACAGTGCCACTTCAGGCTTTTTTTTTCTGCTTATGTGGTGCTGAGGAAGCGAACCCTGGGTCTCATGCATGCAAGGCAAGTATTCTACCACTGAGCCAACTTCCCAGCCCCAAGTTACCTTTTTTAAATAATGTTCCAATTGTACTTTTAACCATCATTTTATAAATTAATATTAAATTCAGCTTCCCTTTTTAAAATGAACTATCTACTAGGAATTGGTGGTTCAGGCCTAGTTACTCAGAAGGCTGAGATCTGAGGATCATGATTCAATGCCAGCCCGGGCAGTAAAGTCCATGAGACTATTATCTCCATTTTACCACTAGAAAACCAAAAGTGGAGCTGTGGCTCAAAGTAGTAGAGCACTAGTCTTGAGAAAAGCTCAGGGACAGCGCCCACACCCTAAATTCAAGCCCCATAATAATAAAAAAAAAGAAACAAACAAACCCACCAAGTCAAGCACCAGTGGCTAATGTCTGTAATGCTAACTATTCAGGGAGCTGAGATCTGAGGATCATAGTTCAAAGTCCTGGCAGAAAAGCCTAGAGATTCTTACCTACAATTATCCACCAAAAAGCCAGAAGTGGAGCTGTAGAGTACTAGTCTTAAGCAAAAAAAGCTCAGGGACAGCAACCAGGCACTAAGTTCAAGGCCAAGGACCAGTGCGCACACACCCCCACCCCCACACACACACACACACACACCCCCACCCCCACCTCAGGGACAGCAACCAGGCACTAAGTTCAAGGCCAAGGACCAGTATACACAAACACACACACACACACACACACACACACATACACACACACACACACACACACACACACACACACACACACACACACACACACACCTGGGCACGTATACACACACGAACCATCTAGAGATTACAGGAAGCAATATATAAGTAAAATATAAAGGTATTTAGTCAATCATATACCTTTTCATATGTGGCTCGATCACTATGCCACCTGGTCACAGTCTCTAACATACAACAAAGAAATCTCCCATATCGACTAGCTTCATTTTCAGTACAGCTGGCAACTGTGTAAATTATGTCAGAGAAAACCTAGAGGAAGGGAATTTGAAGAGTCAAGATCAAAACCAGCTGAACACATTGCAAGATTATGACAAATAATAATAAACAAGGAAATTTAAATTAATTTTCTCCTTTTATATTCATATTTTCCAGCTTTTGAAGACTGTAGAGACTTGTGGAAAAATAACATTCATTAAGCAAGCAAAAACAGAACTTTTAAAGGTAGCTTATTGATAATACGGCAGAAGAAAAAGTCATCACTACTATTATGACATAAGAACATCTGAAACAGTGAGCCATGCATGAATAGGATTGAGTGGAGAGTAAGCAAAGGCAAAGCTGGTATTAGAAATAAACAGGTGAGATAATATACATAATACTTCTAAAGCGCAAAATAGGCATTTTTTTAAAAACCAGATGTAAAAATTTGTGAATATGACCACATTGAAAAGCTTATCTAGCCGGGCGCTGATGGCATACGCCTGTAATCCTAGCTAATCAGGAGGCTGAGATCTGGGGATGGCGGTTCAAAGCCAGCCCAGGCAGGAAAAGCCTGTGAAACTTTAATCTCCAATAAACCACCAGAAAACCAGAAGTAGCACCGTGGCTCAAGTGGCAGAACACTTGCCTTGAGCAGAAGAGCTGAGGGACAGAGCCCAGGCCCAGAGTTCAAGCCCTACAATGGACACACACACACCCACACAAAAAAAGCTTTCCTGTTTTTATGTATGTGTGAAGGTGTCAAGTTTTGGTTGTGTTTTGGGGGGTTTTTCTGCAAGGAGGAAGAGAGGGGAGGCATAGTGTTTCATCTCATTTTAAAGACTAATGGTTATAAATAAGGTCCTAGCTATGATGACACAACAGGTAAACTCAAATGCTTAGTTAATAGCTGAACCTTTAGTGCCTGTTACATTATCAGACACTATGCAAATATCCTCTACTATATAGTGATTCAGTTAATCCTCCCAACAATCTAACAAAGCAAAGAAGGTCTCATTTTGCAGATAAGAAAACTGAGGCACAGCGAGGTTAAATAACCTGCCAAAGACCAATAGAGCTAAAGAGTAGCAAAGCTAAGATTCTAGTTTCAGGCATTTGGCTCTTAAATTCATGCTTTAAACCACCCACACAATACCTCTTTAATTATAATGTTCAGTTTTCTTTGTGTGAGACTTTTTGTGAAAGGTTGCAATAAAAAGAACTTACTCGATCATAGCAAAGAAGTGTGGAAAAATTTGGAGTTTTCTGTTCATGTACCAATTCAACAAAACGAGCACAGTAAACAGCATCAATTGCTGAAAAAATACATCGAGGAAATATACACAGCTGTAGAAATTTTGTGATGGTTTCATTTTTGGTAGATTCTAAAAATAAAGGAAGAATATATTAAGTGGTAAAACTTCTTCCTCAAGGCCTCAAGGCCACTAAACATAACAACATACTAACTGTAGTGTAAGAATGCTATAAAACCACAAGCTATTTGTAGTTTGTAACCAAAAGGTCATGCTTGGGATAAAACTATATTTCCTATCTACAATTTCCCCCAGAAATATGATTTTATACAGAAAAGTTGAATGATAAGCTGCCACTATTATAGAAAGAAGTTAATTTCACCAAAAAACCAAATCATCAGTTCCTTCAGTAAACATGTGAAGTTGATTCTATATTAATAAATAACAAAGAACAGGATTCTGTATAAAGTTAAACCAATAAAAAAGAACTGCATAGTGAACAGAACTGAAATACAAACCTAAGAGAATTCAACACCTTCAAAGTTATAAAGGTTTATTTTTGCAATCTAATAACAGAAGAATGTAACAGTTTCATCAGGCATATGTGGCTCATATGTATAATCCTAGCTACTCAGGAGGCTGAGATCTGGGAATTGAGGTTCAAAGCCAGCCCAGGTAGGAAAGTATGAGACTCTTACCACTAAACGACCAAAACAGGTGGTGGAGCTCTAACTTTGAACAAAAGAAGCTCAGGGTCAGCACCCAGGCCCTGAGTTCAAGCCCCAGGGCCTGCACCAAATAAATAAATATGTAACAATGTCATTAACTTACTTGCTAAAAGCCAATTGTCCTTTTCCAATTTCAGTCTCTGTAAAACTCTCTGCACATGTTCCATTTGTTTCTTTTCTTCTTCAAGAAGCTTATCTTGAAGGGCAGTACAACGTTCCTTCTCTTTTTTCTTTTTATTTGGAGGCTATAAAAATACAAGTTAGGTTAGCTTCTAACAATATGCACATGTCTCTACTGATAATTAAAATAATTTTTAAAGAGATAAATACTGATACTATATAACTTATTTCAAAATGAATATAACATGCCTATCTTCAACGTATCAAAAAGAGGGTTACACAACCTTCAAACATCCTCAAAACAGGCTAGATTCCTAGGCAATCTTTATAACATTGGTAATATACACCTGAAACATACACGAAGTCACCTTTGATTCTTCCTTCTCCTTCATTCCTATATCCTACCTGTTGTCTTATGTGTTCCTACTACCTCCACCATAATTTATTCTCTCAGTACCTCACAATGAATGGTCAAAAAGCCACCTAGTTGGTCTGTAGCTTATCAAAAGCATCTTTCACATTAATATCATAAACAATCTTTTTAAAAGTGTCATTTTTTTACTATCATTACTTTCCTGTTCAGATGTCTGACACCTCAATATTATCAGGTCAACTTTTCTACCTGACATTCAGTGTCCTAGGATTGGAGGTGTGGCTCGAGTGGTAGAGCATCTTGAGCAAAAAAAGCCAAGAAATAATGTAAAGCCCTGTGTTTAAATCCCTATATCAGCCAGCACAAAGAAAAAATTTGCAAATTCAGTGCTCTATATAATCTGATATCATCCTAACAATCAAATTTACTACTAAGCCCATTCAGCAAAGTAAAAGTAGTCTTTTTAAACATCAAACCAGTTTCTGGCTTTGCTGGAACTCTAAACTGGCTTCAACTTTTTCTCCATATTTTGAAACCTACTTTACCTTCAAAACCTGCCACTTGGGGCTGGGAAGGTAGCTCAGTGGTAGAGTGCTTGCCTTGCATGCATGAGGCCCTGGGTTCGATTCCTCAGCACCACATAAGCAAAAAGAAAAAAAAGCCGGAAGTGGCGCTGTGCCTCAAGTGGTAGAGTGCTAGCCTGGAGCTAAAGAGCTGAGGGACAGCACCCAGGCCCTGAGTTCAGGCCACATGACCAACAAAAAAAAAAAGCCTGCCACTCTACTCACAGTTTTCCTTGAAAGTGTTTTTGTTTTGTTTTTGTCGGTGGTGGGACTTGATCTCAGGGCCTAGGCACTACCCCTGAGCTTTTTTGCGTAAGTCTAGATCTCTATCACTTTTAGCCACAGCTCCATTTCTGGTTTTCTGGTGAGTAATTGGAAATAAGAGCCTCACAGACTTTCTTGTCCAGCCTGGCTTTGAATTGCAATCCTCAGATCTCAACCTCCTGAGTAGCGAGGATTACAAGTGTAATCCAACAGTGCCTGGCTAAAGAAAGTTTTCTAAAATGTTCCCTTTTATGGAAATTCCTGCTGCTCTTACAATTGAATCACACAGATCACTTAAGTATCAGCAGTCTTCATTGGAAAGGTAAACTCAAGTAATTCCATGCACTCACCATCCTCATTGAGAAGGTACTATTAAAGCCACCTAAAATATTATATAGCCCCTAGATCACAGCATCAAAAATCTTAAATTAGGGCTGGGAAGGTGGCTCAGTGGTAGAGCGCTTGCCTTGCATGCCTGAGGCCCTGGGTTCGATTCCTCAGCACCACATAAGCAAAAAGAAAAAAGCCGGAATTGGCACTGTGGCTCAAATGGTAGAGCACTAGCCTTGAGCTGAAGAGCTGAGAGACAGCGCCCAGGCCCAGAGTTCAGGCCCCATGACCAGACCCAAAAAAATAAAATCTTAAATTAAAGCAATTTCAAAATATGTATAACACTGAATATAATACTGTCAGGATGAAAACCTACCATTTCCTGATTGTCATCAATTGCTTTCATCTGGACTTTAAGTTTATTGACTTCACGTTCATAGCTGGAATGTGGAACCGCAAGATCATACATCGTCAATGACCAGAATGTGGCATAGAACTGAGGGCTGATGTCATCCCAGACTTTGGCAACATGTATGGAGACCACTGCTTCATGGACAGGAGCCATCACCATCTCACATGATGAAATGTACTTATGAACTTTATGTTGCTGTTTATTTCCCTTTTCTGATTTTTTAAGTTCATCATACTTTGACTGGAGATTAAAAAAAGTAAAAACATACATACATACATACATACACACAGGCAACACAATTTATAGCTTTGACTTTTAAAATATAAAAACCTATATTCCCATCCCAGTATGGTGATATTAACTATGATCCCAGCTACTTGAGAGGCAGAGAACAGCCTGGGGAAAGTTAGTGAAACTCTTAACTTGAAATCAAGTAAAAAGGGCTGAAGTCATAACGCAAATAGTAGAGTATTTCCCTACCAAGCATCAGACCCTGAATTAAGATACCCTGAGATAACTGTTGCAGTCTTTAGTTTCATGCCCTGTCTAGGAGTCATTTAGATTTTTATCAGCACTTACTTATTGAATAAGCAAACAGGGGCATGTGTGCCCTTGTCTACTTTCCTTCATTCTATTCCCTCTTACTGATCTAACAAGAATTGAACATGTCGTACCTCTAGTCCTGCTTTTGAAATATTCAAAAGAACCTAGTAGAAGGTTTTAACATTATTAAGATGTACACAATGTAAATAGCAAACACTAACAAGACCCTACAAGCAGCTATAATTTGTCAATTAAGAAGCTGGCTCAACACTTAAGGGATACAAGAAAGTCACCATAAAACTAATTTATCAGTGACCAAATGTCCAGATCTGCCAGGGCTTTCCTTAGAAGCAAGACTTCAGAGCTAAAACTAGAAAACTCCCAGGCAAAGTAGGATCAGCGGATTACTGTTAAACCGAATAAAATTTTCTTTAAGTATCTATTGTATATTGAAATTTATATGTATGAGAACTGACTGTATAGCTTCTTTGGTATGGCTGGTTTATCTTATTTTGGGACACAATTAGAGGAAAGCCATAGTGTAAATTATTTTTATAAAAAAAAACTGTTAGTACATTGAGATTGACTATATATTAGTTCATAGAGCTTATGTCAAGTTGTATAAAATAAATACATTGTACAATTGTTGCTATTTTCTCATGTTCTTTAGTCTCTTTAAGATAAAGTAGCTCTCACAGAGAAGATTTTACTTGAGTTAGGCATTATCGTTAAGGTAAATCTAAGACAAATTCTAAAACTAGCTGATACTTTATGTTAGAAAATCACTTAAATATTCCATTTATGTTAAACATATCACCCAAAACTGATGGTCAGAGGTCAAAGGTTCTGCTCCAGTTCTGCACTCACATAAGAATCTCTGCTCCTTACAGTCCAGCTGCCTTCCTTTCTGAGTGCCGCATTTCTCCCCGGCTCACTGGACTGAAAGCATAATAAGTCCTCTTTATTACAGAGGGTATCTCAAGCAGGACCTGAGAGAGTCTTAAAATTGTTATAGGACGGGAAGAATTTATTTCCAGTTATCCCCATGTTAGAGAGCATGCTGATAACTACTGAAATTACCCAGGTGACAATTCAACAAAAAACATTAGTTATGAGAAAGTGAGTTCATTACATCCAAGACCTGAGAGAATAGCAACTGAATAATAACACTATTTTGACTTTAGAAAGATCTTACCAAAGGTAATTATTATGAACGAAAGCAGAATTACATCTGCTAAGCTAACAAAATAACTATGAAACTACCGATCTGCATATAACAGTTTAGTTACCTAATTTTGGAAAAAATCTAGACTATCAACTGGAAGATAGAAAGCTTATTTTTCAAGCCCATTTCTTAGGGTAAGTATCAATGATTAAAAGTGAAAATTAAGTTATAAATATGAAAGGATTCTACGATAGCTCCATTCTCCCAACTTCCGTGGTTCTGAATCAGTGCCTTCTGCTAGGCCCACTCTGAGCGCCAATCTAGTTAGAGAATCAGGCTTAATCAGACGTGACAGTTAGATTTCTTATACTATTACTCTAATGCTGATTTACCTAGTTCTTCAAGTTCATACATTAACTCAAAGGGAGACTCACAAACAGCTACCTGGGTGAACAAGACATTACTGAACAGAGCTGATATTAACTTTGTGCTGTATCTCTGATTGCTGTTCAAAAAGGTTTTGCTGGCTCCAAAGTCTGAGAAGTGCTTGGTTGAATCAGTCCCAAAGTGGCTTGTTATTGAAGGAACCTAGTCCTCCTCTAGTACTCATACACTTTACTTTCTCATCAAAGGCTCTTCAAGAGAAGATTTTACCTAAGAAGCAAAATCAGCTCAGGTTGAATGCTCATCCAGTGCATGTTTGCTGGGGAATTCCCTTTCCAGAAGAGCCTTTGCATAAACACTTAACCCTACCTAGGCTATATAACTACCTCTATATTACTTGTGTTTCCTTCTTCAACTTTTAAGAATGAAATGTCACTTCTTTCATTAGATTTGTATCTCTTAAAAAAGAAATACTATTTTACAAAGACTAGAAATAAAGGTGGTTATTGATACAAATGACCTTCTCTATTTTATTTGCTAGAGTTCACTACTGTTGATTTCTATGTACACTTTCCAGCATAGTACAGGGCAAGGGGGAATCCTGAGATGAAGCAATTAGGTCTTCCTTCTTTCTATAAACTGAGACTCATCTACCTTGGAGTATGTCAGCAATCCATGACATAAATACACAAAGATAGCATATAGTCTCTACACTGACATTCTAGAGGCAAACACAAGGCTTATTCTTTTATCACATTCATTTCCCCTCAGAGTATATAGCATAAGTAATTAAATCAATTAACATTAGTTAATTGTAGAAGGAAATGGAAACTGTAGTTGTTGGTATGTAAATACCAACTGTTGATGATTGATAATATGTTCAACTGAACCTCAAACTTCTCAGTACCTTTTTTGCAAATCTCTCTATATAATCCATGTCCTTACTGGGAACAAAGAAAGGAAAGGATCAAAACTTTCTCCAAAATCTGAAGTGAAAGCCCTGTATAGTTATAGACTTTAAAACAATTTTTTAAAAAAAATTAATCAAAGGGGCAGAATCCAAAACAAAAGAAAAATGAAAAACATGCTGGGCCTCAATGAACTGACCATTGCCTCAAGAGGAGAGGCAAAGTATGTTTCATGAATAGTCACTGTTTATCTCCTCTCCTTCTATATGGTTACCTGAGTTTCAATAGGCACTACTGAAAAGTTCATTTTGGAGCAGACTTTTTTAATGGTTTTATTTAGGTGGATAGAAGCAACAAATACAAACATTCTCTTACTAGAAGATAAAACAACAGAGAAAGCAAGACTTTTTAGGGGGAGGAGGAGTTGCTAAAACATTCTTTCTAGGCATTACGAATAACAGCAGTCAACCACCTGAGAGGAATATTCTTAAGACAAAGAGGACACTCATCAAGAAAGCTTTCCTGAGTGACATACCCTTAATCACAGGCATCAAAATCATCTAGTGTTTGTTAACAAACAAAACCAAAACCAAAACCAAAATGCCCAGAAGTCCCAAGGTACTCTTCTTAAGCTACTGAAGTAGAATTTTGAACAGGAGGATAATACTGAATTTTTAAGATGCTTCTTAGGTGATTCTCATCCATACCAACATTTAAGAACTACATTTTGATAAAATATTAATTGATAGGACAATAAGAATAAAGTTACAGAACTGGTAAGATCTATTTTTAAAAGGAAAATCTTCATTATATATTGCTCAGAGTGAATATAGACAAAATAATAACTCTCCAAAAGACAATCTATATCTTTACCAAAGGAAAATGTATTAACAAATGAGACATTTTTGAAAGCATTCTTGAATTGTAACAAAGATATTGTACTTACCGAAATATGGTGTGCATACATTGGCCTAGACAGAAAAAATGCTGCATCATGGGGTGTATGAAATTCATTACAGAGCACATCAATTGAAGGCACTCGCTTTATATAATCTTCTGTGCTTAGATTTGATGCTAAAAACCCACCAAACTGTACCAGGGTATCATGACACTATATTTTAAAAATAAGAGAAAAATACATATAAGTTACTATTGTACAACTCTAACAAACATACTGCAAAAATGATTAAGATGTTATTCAGTAACATTTTAAATAATAATCCAAATTGCATTTTTGCAACAAGCACAAAACTGGAGAACATTGTGATAATTAAAATAAGCAAGGCATAAAAGACATTCACCACATCTTCCCACTCATATGGAAGCTAAAATATTTGACTTTGCAGAAATAGAAAGTAGAATAGTAAATAGTTACTAGAAGGGGGACAGATGATGGATCATGAGTAACAAAATACAGTTAAATAGGAGGGATAAGCTCTAGTTTTGCATAGCATACAATGGTTAACTACTATAGTAACAATGTTCTATGTATTTTTTACAAAAACTAGAAAAACTCAGTTCCTCAAGACAAATGACAAATGATTGAGATGGAAATGCTTTTTGCAAATTTGATTGTTACACATTATATGCACACTATGCTGAATTATCACAATATATCTCATAATATGTACATATATTAGATAGGAAATTAACAGTTTTAAAAATGTAAAACAAGATCTGGGAAGGTGGCTCAGTGGTAGAGCGCTTGCCTTGCATGCCTGAGGCCCTGTGTTCGATTCCTCAGCACCACATAAGCAGAAAAAAAAAAGCTGGAAGTGGCGCTGTGGCTCAAGTGTTGAGCTGAAGAGTTGAGGGACAGCGCCCAGGCCCAGAGTTCAGGCCCCACGACCGGACCCCCAAAAAAAATGCAAAACAAGTCTAATGTTGTACACTAAACAGGAAAACGAGGAGGGGGAACATGAACAAAAGCTATACATGGTAACGAATACCGGCACTAGGAAGCCAGAGGCAAAAGAATCATAAATTCAGATTCAGCATGTGTTACATAGGCTTTCTTGAGACCCTGTCTCAAAAATGAAGAGGAAAAAAGGAATCCAAAGTTTGCATCTAGAAGGATAAACCACAAATACAATTACATAATCATAAAAAAGGGGCTCATGTCTGTAATCCTAGCTACTCAGGAGGCTGAGATCTGAGGAACAAGACAAAGCCAGCTGAGGCAGAAAAGTCTGTGAGATTCTTATCTCCAATTAACTGCCACAAAAAAAAAGCTAGAAGTAGAGCTGTGGATCCAGTGGTGGAGCACTAGCCTTGAGCAAAAAAAAAAAAAAAAGCAAAAGAGCTCAGAGAAGCATCCAGGAACTGAATTCAAGCACCAGGAGAGACAGAGACAGGGACAGGAACAACGACAAGGACACCACACAGACAGACACACAGACAGACACACAGACCCTGATAGGTTGAGTAATACAATGCTTTAATAGCCAATTCATTCTCTTAGGTTCCAAGATATTGTTCAACACTTTTAGAACAAATTTACCTAAAATCACATATAAAAATATGCATAAATAAGAATTCAAGCCGGGCACGTGTGGCTCATGCCTGTAATCCTAGTAACCAGGAGGCTGAGATCTGAGGATTGTGGTTCAAAGACAGCCCAGGCAGAATGTCCCTGAGACTCTTATCTCTAATAACCTCCAAAAAGCTAGGGGTATAGTATGGTTCAAAGTAGTAGAGCTTATAAATGTGTTAGAAACACATGCATGAAAGAAAATGCTTTCACTATATTTGATGTCAGTATAACTTGTGGAGGAGATGGGGAAAAACCAGTTGTTTAAGGATACAGGTGGACCTGTTGCAACAATGAGAAGTACAAGTTGTCATGTCCAAAACGAGCTTTACAACGTTGGTGCGGGGGGGGGGGGGGGGGGGGGGGGGAGAAGGATTGGGATTAGGGGGGGAGGGGGGAGGCTGGGAAGGGATGTGAAGGGTAAACAAAGGAGGAGGCTGCAATGCTTGGTAAGAAATGTACGCATTATCCTGCCCATGTAATTGTAACTCCTCTGTACAGTATGTTCACAAATAAAAATAAATTAAATTAAAAAAAAAGTAGTAGAGCTTGCCCACTGAGGAGTTTTTAAAGGCTCAAAATATGCTAAACCCATTGGTAGCTATGTATTTGGTTTCTCTGTATGTAATAACACATAACTTCTGTTTTGCTTTTTTTTTCTTTCATTCACAGTGTTATCCACAACGAAATTTTGTCTAGGAAATCTGAAATAAAACTTGGCAGCCTTTTTAATAACTCCAAATAAAGTGATAACAGCACAAAAAAAAAAGTAGTAAAGCTCTGCCTTAAGCAAAAGATCTCTGGTACAATGCCCAGGCCCTGAGTTCAAGCATCATGGTAGAAAGAAAAAAATAAAAAGAAATCAAGTCATTTATGATTTGAAAATTAAAATTTAAAATACATTCACAAATACATTATATTTTGGGGGGGCCGGGTGTGGGGCTTGAACTCTGGGCCTGGATGTTGGCCTTCAGCTCAAGGCTAACGTTCTACCACTTGGGCCACAGCATCACTTTCCATTTCTTGGTGTTTTTTTGGACTTTCCTGCCTGGGCTGGCTTTGAATCCCCATCTCAGATCTCAGCCTCCTGAGTTGCTAAGGTTACAGTATGAACCACCAGTGCCTGGCTATATTCATAAATATTAAGAGGGCTGAGAATGTGGCTTAGTGGTAGAGTGCTTGCCTGGCATGCATGAAGCCCTGGCTTCAATTCCTCAATACCACATAAACAGAAAAGGCCAGAAATGGTGCTGTGGCTCAAGCTGTAGAGTGCTAAGCTTGAGCAAAAGAAGCTCAGGGACAGTGTCCAAACCCTGAGTTCAAGCCCCAGGACAGGCTAAATAAATATATACATACAAACACATACACACACACACACATATATATATATGTAGAGAGAGAGAGAGAGAGCGTGTGTGAGTGTGTATGTGTGTGTACACAGAGAGGGAGACAGAGAGAGAGAGAAAGACAGAGAACTGAAATCTGTGATGTTGCCACATATTATAAAGAAAAAAATAGCCGCTACTCTATTGTGATTGAAATTACAGATTTCTTCAACTGCACTGCACATTGACCAAAATGAACTAAGCAACTCAATGGCAGCAATGGGAAGGAACAAATGGGAAAGAGGGAACAGCTGACGCTATGTAAAACAAAAGAAATGTACATATCACCCAATGTGGAAGAAATAACTGTATTGCAAAGCTCATAGAACTTATAAATGTTATAGACCATGATAGATAATTTGTCCTAAGAAAGTTAGAATGTGTTTGTGACTTTAAGCTTCACTATCCCACAATACTGTGAAATTTGGGACATTATGTAACCACTTAATCACAATAAAAAATCTGAAAAAAAAAGCTATGTACATATGACCATATAAGATGATGTTAAGAGAAATGAACCCCAAGATAGGGACACAAGTGTTTTTTTCTTTCTTGCTATTGTTTTTAATGTATTTAAAATTTACTGTGATTTTTTTGTTTCTCTTTTATGTTCTTCCCCCATGGTATAACCCGTTTTCATTGTATTTGACATCGGTGCCCTGCATCTTGTATATACATTTTTCTAATTTGGGGAGGGAAAGGGAAATAACAAAATGCTGAACTAAGGATACAGGTTGACCCATTGTAACAGTAAGATGTACAGGACATTATGTTAAAAACGAACTTTACAACTTGGGGTGGGAAAGGGAGGATTTGGGGAGCTGGGGAGGGAAGGGATCGTAGGGGAAAAACAAAGGAGGGGATAATGATGCTCGATAGAAAATGTACTCATTATCTTACTCATGTAACTGTAATCTCTCTGTACAGTATTTTTACAATAAAAACATATTAAAAAAAGAAATTACAGATATCTGGAGATCAGGAACAAAAGAAAATAAACAAGCTGAATTTGAAGGAATTTGATTATGTACAAAAACACTCCAACAATTTTTAAATACTGTAATTTATGCAGAAAAAGGTGGCAGTCTTTGATATTAGAGCTGTTCCATGCTCATATAGTATGCAAAAGTGGTATTTCTTCAAATTATATCACATTTTCCATTTCCTTTTATCAGGATTAAAAACTACATCAATAGAAAGTCTACTTTAACTTACCTGGTCATATAGTTTTCCAACAAGTTTCAAATGTTTCTCTCCACCCTCTTGAAAGATTACCCCATTCCTTTGCTGAGCCATAAGCAAACAAAGAGGAAGAGCAAGATCATGATCTAATAGGGCATCTTTTAATCTCTGAGAAGATTTTTTAGTGTTTCTGATCTGGCCAAAATAACCACCCTGCATAAGAGAAGACAAAATTTTACTGGTTTATAGTATGCAGCCCATGTTATCTGACTTAAAGAGGACATTGCAAAAAAAAAAAAAAAGCTGAGTTGTGATCTTAAAAATTGCTCTATTCTACATTTCTTCTCCTTCAATTACTTATTTTAATAACAATATTATTGAGTATACTCTGCCCTAAATGTTTATAAGTTTCTGGATAATTTCCATCTGCTAACTTATAGTCTCTTAAAAGGATTGTTTTCAATGTAGATGAGCTTTAATAAAGTATATTAAAATTTATATCACTAAGAATAGCAAATACCAAGCTGAGAGCCAGTGGCTCACACCTGTAATTCTAGCTACTCAGGAGGCTGAGATCTGAGGATGGGGATTCAAAGCTAGCCCCGGCAGGAACGTCCATGAGACTCTTATTTCCAATTAACAACAAAAAAACCAGAAGTGGCACTATGGCTCAGTGGTAGAGCTCTCGCCTTGAGCTAAAGAGCTGAAGGACGGCACCCAAGCCCAAAGTTCAAGACCCATGAACAACAAAAAAAAAAGAAACAACATAGGATACTAAATACCACAGAAGATCTACCATTAATTTTTAGCACAACTATGTAACTTCTTGGCCTATACTTTTAGATTACTAAAAGGGTTTATTAACTAGTATATCTCAATTTTTAAATGGATGGTTTGTGTGGTTTTTACATGTAGCATCAAGTACTTATTTATATACTGTTTAGACTCTTATGACCATGCATTATATAACCCCATTTATTATATGTGACTTGCAGAAGTTATTTGAAACAACAAACAATAACAAATCTATATATTTTATTTTTTCTTAGACATACATATTATGATAGGTAATTTACAAATGAGGCACATTAATAACAATTATAATAGTATATTGTATTTAAAAAATTATGTGAGAGCTAGGAATGTGGTTCGGGGTAGAGTGCTTGCCTAGCATGCATGAAGCACTGGGTTTCATTCCTCAGTACCACATACACAGAAAAAGCCAGAAGGGGCGATATGGCTCAAGTGGTAGAGTGCTAGCCTTTAGCAAAAAGAAGCTCAGGGACAGTGCCTAGACCCTGAGTTCAAGCCCCAGGACTTGCAAAAAAAAAGTTATGTGCATGTGGTCATATTCTCTCTCAAAATACCTTATTGTCCTGTCCTCACTTTTCCTAGGATGATTTCAGATAACACACCATGAAGGACATAGGCACTGTGATGCACCATCATAAGGCTACTGACTTACTGTACAAGTTATTTGAATACAAGTATACCAAAATAGTTTGTTAACCAAATACATCAATCTGATGACCAAAATAGCAGATATCATATAGGATAGATATGTTGGTCAAAATAATGACTCATATTCTAAGCAAGAGTCAGTAGGAAGGCCTAAGATCTCATCATGCTATACAGAATGGATCTCAAATAAAAGTTATGGTCTACTTCTGTATTTTCTCATTTAAGATTTTGGAAACTTGGTTGATCATGAGTAACTGGAATTTCTGAAAAGTAAAGCCATGGAAAATGAGGAACCAGTGTACATCTTAAACCTAAAAACTCAAGAAACAACAAAAAAAAGCAATCTGACCTCAGCTTTGAGCTGCTCCCCACCAGTCATGGCCTCTAGTTGCTCCATTGTCATTTCTTCTGTAATTTCAATTCCTGCCATTTTCTGTACCACTTCTTTCAGTATAAGCAGATCAAAACTATTAGAAAAAATAATTAGAAATAATCTGTAGTTAAAGCTTAAAATAGAAAAGTAACCATACATTATAATATATTGAAACACCTTCATTCTTTAAATATAATTATAGGGGGGGAGGGCTAATGTGATTTTTAAGAAAAAATTGCATTCCCAGGACTACCTTAAGAGTATCCTAAAAAGCACTCATGCTTATTATTTACTTTCATTTACTACTATTCCCTGCTTGTACTTACATTCATTTACTACTTACTAGCTTACAAACACAAAAATACAGTATATATGCTAAACCTCAACTTTACCTATTTTAACATTTTTATTACTTGTTTTAATTTGCTTACTTTGTAATTTTGCCCCTCTCATTCCATATTCCTCCCTTCAACACACATAGACACAGAGTTATAGTTTGAATATGAAATGTCTCCAACAAGATCATATGTTGAAGGTTTGGTGGTACCACAAAGTTCTAGAAACTTTCAGTAATGAGTTCTAGCTACAGGAAGTGAGTGAAAGGCTTCATGGCCCTGGAATCTGTATCTTGCCACTGGTCCCTTCCTTGATCACTCCTTGCTTCCTTCCACCATGTTCTACTTTACTATGAGCTCTGAAACAATGCAGCTAGCCAACTATGAACTGAAACCTCTGAAACCCTAAATCACAATATTCTTTTCTTCTTTTTAAGTTTTTTTCCTAAGAAATTTATCACACAGTAAGAAACTAACATGCATACAAACAACCTTTTTAAGTATCTGGGGGTAAATTATTTAAATCATGGCCTCTACTTTCTGGAATTCTTAAAAATGAATCCCAAAGCAGGGCACTGGTGATACAGGCCTATAATCCTAGCTGCTCAGGAGGCTGAGATCTGAGGATCATAGTTCAAAGCCAGCTTATTCAAGAGACTCTTTTTTTTTTGGGGGGGGGGGGGTCCAGTTGTGGGGCCTGAACTCTGGGCCTGGGCGCTGTCCCTCAGCTCTTCAGCTCAAGGCTAGCACTCTACCACTTGAGCCACAGCGCCACTTCCGGCTTTTTTCTTATGTGGTGTTGAGGAATGGAACCTAGGGCCTCAGGCATGCAAGGTAAGCGCTCTACCACTGAACCAACTTCCCAGCCCTCAAGAGACTCTTATCCCCAATAAATCACCCCAAAGCCAGAAGGGGTGCTGTGGCTCAAGTGGTTCAGTGATAGCCTTAAGTGAAAAAGCTCAAGGACCGTACATACCACCTTAGGCCAGAGTGCAAGCCCCAGGACCAGCAAAAAAAAAAAAAAAAAATCCTAAGAATAGAGCTATTATGTCATACAAGCACAGCACCATTATCAATTTTAGTAATTAAGGTTTAATCTATAATTTATACTGCATTTTTATAAAACTATAATGTTCTTCACATTGTCATTTTCCTCATATTTTTAATAGCAAAGAGCCATCTCTGTAAACAATCCTATTACTAAAATTAAAGCTGTAGAATAGTCACAACCACATAGATAAGAGGAAAGGAAAATGCAAGGGAAAGGGAAGCTCCAAATTTTGACATCTAAACCCAAGATAGTACTTATTTAGCCAACCCTAAGCACATTAGAAATGTGTCAACATGTTTCAATAACAGTCTTGCTACATAGCTAACCTCAAACTTGTGATATTCCTATGGTAGCCTCCTAAATCCTGAGATTATGGTTATGCAGAGCAATACCTGGCTTAGCAAGTAAAAAAAGCTCAAGGAAAATACCCAGGTTTCAAGCCCCAAGACTGGTACCAAAAAAAGGTTTAAAACGTTTTCTAATATCCTTATCACAATTGTTTTCAACTGGCTTTACCTTTATAGTTTTTCAAACCAAGATGGCCCTTGTGCAAATTAGAATATAAGTACCAATGAAATACTTTTTACTGGGGCTGGGAAGGTGGCTCAGTGGTAGAGCGCTTGCCTTGCAAGCCTGAGGCCCTGGGTTGGATTCCTCAGCACCACATAAGCAAAAAGAAAAAAGCCGGAAGTGGTTCTGTGGCTCAAGTGGTAGAGCGCTAGCCTTGAGCTGAAGAGCTGAGGGGCAGTGCTCAGGCCCAGAGTTCAGGCCCCACGACCAGACCAAAAAAAAAAAAAAAAGAAATACTTTTTACTTAAACTATGCTTCAATTAGATCAATACAGAAAATTGAGTTACAGATTAAAACATGTGCCCTCATACTTGTACAGAGAAAAGAGTAAAATGTACATGAGTATATCTGAGAAGTAAGCATATCAAGAATGATATACAAACACAATTCTGAGTCTGTATATTTTTTCCAAGAACCCCAAAGAAGAATCTGTCAACAATTGCTTTAATACTTGTTTAGAATATCAGATTGCTTTTAATCTTCCTTTGCATTGTCAGAAAGTTTCAGAAAACTGTTTCCAATTCTCTGATTTTCCCAATCTAGAAGTGATTAGGATTATTATACATACTAATTCAAACACTAGGCCCATTGGGCTGGGAAGGTGGCTCAGTGGTAGAGCTCTTGCCTTGCATGCATGAGGCCCTGGGTTCGATTCCTCAGCACCACATAAACAAAAAGAAAAAAGCCGGAAGTGGCGCTGTGGCTCAAGTGGTAGAGCGCTAGCCTTGAGCTGAAGAGCTGAGGGACAGCGCCCAGGCCCAGAGTTCAAGCCCCACGACCGGACCCAAAAAACAACAACAACATCAAACACTAGGCCCAAAATAAAATAAAGTAGTCATACAAAAAACATCCAAAAAGCATATGCTTTACATCTCTCTCAATTTCACATTCAAAAATTAAATGTTTACAAATACTATAAACTCCCTTAAAAAACATGTTCCCAATCATAAGCTCAATATGGCCTAAAGATCAATTACTATTCAATAATAAGCAAAAGTACAGTATATTTTGTTATAACTGGATTTAAAATATACCATACATTAACCATTTATTCAAAAGCCTAACAGGTGAAAGTGTCTTTTTAATGAGTTACAGACAAAACCAAATATCACATTTATGAAAACGGTATCTTTTATGTATTATGTTCTAACTGCTCTTAATTAAATAATTCTATACCTGTAATCCCGCCCTCAAGAGGCTGAGGAAAGAGGATACTCAGTTGAAAATTAACTTGGGTTATGCAGTGAGACCCTGTCTTCAAAACAGTCCAACGGAATACTAAACAAATACGTAGGCAACAATTCTACTTGAGCCTCCAAATCTTTGAAGATAATAGTAATTTCAATATTCCCAAACTACCAGAAGTGCTTTATTAAATTTCATTTATATATAATTTATTGATTACCTTTTGCCTGCTTTTAGTTGATTGGCCACATATTGAAGAAGACCAGCAAGATCAATTGGATATTTACGAAAAACTGCACCACAGAAACTAGCCAGACCTATATGAAGTAAAAAGAGGTAATCATAAGAAGAATAAAAAATACTTCAAAAAACAAAAAGGATGCGTCATTTCTTCAACACTTACATTCTAAGATAAAATTAAGGCAGGAATATTGTTGCTGATGCTCTGGAATTTTATAATAATGGCTAGTATTATCAGTATATACATGCCAGACACTATATCAAGAACTTTATATTGATTCACCCTCTGGTTAGGTCATTTTAAGTTGCTAATCTCTCAAAGAGACAAATAATGAACAGTTCCATCATGTAACTTCCTTGTGGCAGTGGCTCAAACCTATATAGCCTATTAGAACACTACAAAATGCTGCATAACACTGAGAAAACAAATATTTAACAGCAAAATGTCCAAACCTCAAAGTTTAAGTCAAACTGGGGTGATGGTACATGCCTATAAAGACAGCACTCAGAAGGGTGATATATAGGGACAGTGAGTTTGGGGTCCACATAGAAGAGTAAGATCCTATCTTTAAAAGAGTTTTGAAAAAAGAATAGGAGTTTGAGTCAAATGCCTACTACTTATAGGGTTTAAGGAAAAAGGTAAATTATTGTTAGAAAACAAATTTTAAAAAACTAACTGTAGCAAACAGTTCTTATCTTGAGTAGAAAGCAAACTCCAATCAAGATAACAGATTCAAGTAGTCTGTAGATAATTCAACAATTTGCTAAGTAACTATACGTTATTTACCAAAACATAGGTCAAGGTCCTATACTATAGTCCAGTAAGGGAAAAAATATAAACTGAAATGATTGCCATGAATACAAAGTTCCATGGCAATGCAAAAGAGCAGCACCTACCAATGCTCTGTAAATTAGTGCAACAGCAGGGAAAACTTTCCAAAGAAAATTACCCCTTAAGTTAAAATCTAATGAATAAGCAAAATACAAAATGAAGAAATCAAGTTGGCATGAGAATATATAAGGGGCCAGGTCATTGTGCTGCCATTGTAATCCTAGCTCCTCAGGAGTCTGACACCTGAGGACTGCAATCTGAAGGCAGCCTGGGCAGGAAAGCTTATGAAATTCTTATTTCCATTACTAGCAAAAAGCCAAAAGTGGAGCTGTGACTCAAGAGCTATAGTACCACCCTTGAGCAAAAACACCTAAAAGAGATAGTACACAGGACCTGAGATCGAACAACACACACACACACACACACACACACACACACACACACACACACACACACACACAGAGTAAATCAAGAAAAGAACAATTGCAAAGGTCCATAGAAAGTACAAAAAGTCCAATATTAACAAAATTAACAGAAAGAAGGTTAAAAATAAGATTAGAATAATAGGTACTTGATTGTAAAATAACTTCTGTCATTAAGTATTTTCAGGTTTACAGGACAATGGGGACCCACTGTACATTGCAGATATGGAAAAGTTGCTAGTAATCAAAGTTACAAAAAACAAGAAGATATGACTATATCTCATTAAATCTTTGTGCTTTTGCAATGTTAAGAACCTCAGGAAAGGGCTGGGAAGGTGGCTCAGTGGTAGAGCGCTTGCCTTGCATGCCTGAGGCCCTGGGTTCGATTCCTCAGCACCACATAAGCAAAAAGAAAAAAGCCGGAAGTGGCGCTGTGGCTCAAGTGGTAGAGTGCTAGCCTTGAGCTGAAGAGCTGAGGGCCAGCGCCCAGGCCCAGAGTTCAGGCCCCATGACCAGGCCCAAAAAAAATAAATAAATAAATAAAATAAAAAAGAACCTCAGGAAAGAAAGGGAAAGATTAGTTTCCTTAATATTAAAAGGACTTTGGAGGTGAAGACAGGAAGATTATGAATCTGAGACCAACCTGGGCTATGAAAAACAACAAAAAGGAACTGGTTATTGAGTCCAGCAGCTCATTCCCCTTAGTGGATTTTCCTTTCACTTCATTAATAAACTCTTTGTTCCCTACTTTTAAAAAAGAATAAGGAAGAGAAGGAGAAAATAAAGAAGAGAAGGGGGAGGAAAGAGAAGGGTATTTTTCCAACACCCCAATAAAAGTTGCTTCCCCAAGTTTTATCAAGAGGTAATAATACTCTCTTGAATAAGGAAAATTAATATAATTTAACTATATAAAATTAATATGAATTTACTATTAAATCTTACTTAACTAGGACTTGGTCCCTTCACAGAACAAACTGAATGGTTAGATATTCTACTTTAACTAAGCTTAGGTAACAGAATTCAAAGCATGCAGTTAACAACAGTAAAAAGTCCACCCTTTGTAAAATAACTTACTCTGAAGCCAGCTTGAGATGGTTGTGTCATCATGCTTCATTCTCTCCTTTTCTGGATTAGCTAAAGCTTCTATGATACAATCTTTCATAAGTTAAGAAAAAAATTATAACTACATCTCCGAGAACCATAAATATAGAAAAATTGCTGTATCTTGGGAAAATAATTGTTTACAATAAATTATTGCAAAGTATTGACACATACATTACATTGTAGCATCAACTCTTCACCTTTAAATTCATTTACATCTTTTAGCAAGGATACCTCTTTGTGCTCAAGGCTAGTGCTCTACCACTTGAGCACAGTGCCGCCTCTGGCTTTTTTAGGTAGTTAAATGGAGATGAGTTGCATGGGCTTTTTCTGCCCATGTTGGCTTCAAACCACAATCCTCAGATCTCAGGCTCCTAAGTAGTTAAACTCTTATCCACAATTAACCTCCAAAGAACTGGAAATAGAACTATGGGCACAATGGTAAAGCACCAACCTTGAGAGTAAAATGTTAAAGAGACAATGCCCAGGCCCCTTGAGTCAAGCTGTAATGCTGGTACTGAAAATAAAAAATCTGGTCTCTCGAGAGCATGTTTCAAGTGGTAGAGTGCCTGCTGATCAAACCCAAGACCCTTAATTCAAACCCTAGAACCCCTCAAGAAAAAAATCTATGAAATTAATGTATTTCTTCACATGAAAGGATACAGGCCAAGACATCATAATTCAATGAAGTAAGATATTTTAATGAATCAACCACAGGTGTTATTAAGTTATCATACTTCTGTATTTGTGACAAGATCTGAAAGAAATCAACAAAGAACAGATGGTATTAACTAAACAAAACAGGATTTATGTCATCTAAATTTTGGCTACAATTTTTCAAAAGTAAAATGCAATAGTGTTTATAATAAAAGTGGCTACCTATCATTTCATATGTATATAAAATTACTATTCAATCATTTCCTTAGAGAATACTTTAGACTGCATTTTCCAATTAAAAAATGGTTTTGGGGCTGGGAAGGCGGCTCAGTGGAAAGCGCTTGCCTTGCATGCAGGAGGCCCTAGGTTTGATTCCTCAGCACCACATAAGCAGAAAAAAAAAAAAGCTGGAAGTGGCGCTGTGGCTCAAGTGGTAGAGTGCTGAAGAGCTGAGGGACAGCGCCCAGGCCCAGAGTTCAGGCCCCACGAACAGACCCCAAAAAGAAATGATTTTAGAGGAAACTAAACTTAGATTTGGAGGAGATAGAAGTTAATCTTATGTTAAATGTATTTCAGAATTACAAAACACCAGTGTTAAACTGAATCCACACAATAAAATGCTATTCAAATGTTTCTAAAAATACAATAATACTCCCTTCCATTTGCTCACCCTTCCTCCTTCCCTTTCTGCACACCACCTCTTTTCTCCCCTCCAAAAAAAGACAAAGATATGCTCCCAGAAATCAAATCATGTTCAACAAAGTAACATTAGACTGACTATAACAGTAGCACTGCTAATGAGTTACTAGTAAGGAGCCAATGTTAATATATTATGAACTGTTTTATTTTTAGCATAACCTGACATTTGCTCATTTTTCCTTAAAACAATTTTACTATAGAATTCACAAACTTTATAAAACATGATAATGACAATTTGCCTTGTGAAGGTTAAAACGTGTATGTGACTTTAAGTAACACTATCCATAATATTGTGAAATCTGTGTAATCAATCTCAATAAAAAATATTATTAAGGGGCCGGGAAGGTGGCTCAGCACCACATATGCAAAAAGAAAAAAGCCGGAAGTGGTGCTGTAGCTCAAGTGGTACAGCGCTAGCCTTGAGCTGAAGAGCTGAAGGACAGCGCCCAGGCCCAGAGTTCAGGCCCCACGACTGGACCCAAAAAAAAAAAATTATTAAAACATTTTTCAAGTACATCATTCCATTTTAAAACTATATTATTTTATTTCCATATATTCTGATGTTTTTTAAAAAGGAAAATCCCATAAAATAATATTCATTTCAAAACATACATAATCAAACAAAATGGTTGGATTGCTGTGGCTTAACTTCCCAATTTGCCTTCCTGAAGGTTTCACGTTTTCCTTGGTCAGACGCCTACAAGGGAAGACAAAAGTGGCAGAATTATCTTTAAAAATATTGCTCATTATGCATAAAAGTTTAATCACACCATGGGATAATTCCTTCCCAACTACACAAAGTGGATCCAACTAAATAACTACACTACTGCTAGGCTGGCTAGGTTTACCCAGAGTTTATATTACATGCTTAATATTTATAACATATGATTTCACCTTTATTTTTGACTAGGGCTTGAACTCTGGGCTTGGGCACTGTCCCTGAGCTTTTGCACTCAAGGCTAGTGCTCTACCACTTGAGCTACAGCTCCACTTCCAGCTTTTTGTGGTTAACTGAAGATAAAAGTCTCAAGAACTTTCCTGCCACAGTTGGCTTCAAACCACATCCTCAGATCACAGCTTCCTATGTAGAAAGGATTACCAGCATGAGGCACTGATGCCTGGTTATAATTCCACTTTATAGTAATAGTATATAAAGCAGTAAAAATCGGGGCTGGGAAGGTGGCTCAGTGGTAGAGCTCCTGCCTTGCATGCCTGAGGCCCTGGGTTCGATTCCCCAGCACCACATAAGCAAAAAGAAAAAAAAGCCAGAAGTGGCGCTGTGGCTCAAGTGGTAGACTGCTAGCCTTGAGCTGAAGAGCTGAGAGACAGAACCCAGGCCCAGAGATCAGGCCCCATGACCCCCCCCCCAAAAAAAAGTTCTCTGCTTTCCATATTAAAGGTTAACAATTTTTTACTAATTTTCTTCCTGTTTATTTGTTCCTCTGTTCATTGTTTTGTTGGTTTTTTTTTTTTTTTTACAAAAACTTAAAATTTAAAATCAAAGAAATTCTTACAGTTCAAAGTAGGGTACCAGTACTCACATCTACAATTCTAGCTATTCAGGAAGCTGAGAACTGAGGATTACAGTTCAAAGCAAGCCCAAGCAGAAAAGTCCCCAGAGGTGTTACTCAAGTGGTACAGCACCAGCCTTGACCAAAGAAACTAGGTACAAAGTGCAAGGCCCTGAGTTCAAGCCCAAGTACTGGCACAAAAAAAAAAAATAAAGAAAGAAATTCTTAGAGCTCAAACCAATCATTACACAGAAACAACATTTTTGAGATTATTACAAAATGAATCCAGAAACTTGAACCATGAAAAGGCTACAAATATACAAGTGAAAAGTGGCTCTGTGGCTCAAAGTGGTAGAGCACTAGCCTTGAGTAGAAAGAGCTCAAGGACAGTACCCAGGCCGCAAGGTCAAGCCCTCCCCACACAAAAAAGATCAAATATACAAGTGAAACAAATTATTTTTTCTAAAATGAAAATACAATGAAATAAATTATGAATTCAAATTATAATTTTTGTTTATTTATTTACTTGTCAGTCATGGGGATTGAACTCAGGGCCTGGACACTGTTCAGGAGCTTCTTTAGCTCACAAAGATAGCACTTTACCACTTGAGCCACAGTACCATTTCTGCCTTTTTCTGTTTATGTGGTATTGAAGAATTGAACCCAGCACTTCATGCACTCTAGGCAAGCACTCTACCACTAAGCCACGTTCCCAGCACATGAGTTCAAATTCTAATTTAAAGAATGGAATGATTTTCAAAATAATGAACTTGATAAAATTGTTCTAAGAAGGTTCTCGTAGCCAGGTACTAGTGGCTCATGCCTGTAATCTTAGGTTCTCAGGAGACTGCCTAGGCTAGCTTTAAAGTAGGATCATTAGATCTTAGCCTGTTGAGGTGCTAAGGTGGTCAGCATGAGCTACCTTGTTTTGTTATGTTTCATGTTGAAACAGGGTCTTACTGTGTAACCCAGGCTGGCCTTGACCTCTCTATCCTCCTGTCTCAGACTCTAGAGTGCTGGGAGTATAGGCATGTACCAAACCCCTAGAACATGTCCAGCAATGGTCAAGTCATCAAAGGTCTTTGAAACAAAGGGATAATACAAAGCACTATATATAATACGCCAGATAAAAGAAATACGGTTGTAGAGAAAACAGATGAGAAGGATTTCATTAATTTAATAATACTTAATATTAAATTCTCTAGTAAATTACTTTAGTACCTAGCATACGTAGTACTGGCTCCATGGATGATGCCTGTTGTTAAGCTAGAAGCTACATCAGAGAATTCCAATAACTCATTCTGGCAAACCAGAACTGATATTTTCTCCTGCAATAATACTTTATAATAACTTTTTCCTGTAATAACTAGATTAGATAATTCTCTTATCTTTCTATAGTATTTTATACCTCATTATAACAGCAACTATTAAACAAAATTGTGATAATACACATGTCTACTTTCCCAAAGACTGTAACCAGAGACAATATCACCAGGCAAAGACGATATCATTGCATACTATTAAATCTAGCAACACTAGAGATTGCATGACTTATAAGAATATAAATGAATTTTATCAAAGAAACGACAATTGATGATAGTCTCATTAAAATTGTGAAATATAACAAGTATCTTTAGTCTCTAAAATGATACTAAACTGGATACACAATTTTTACATTTCAACTTCAAATAGTTCACCAGGAAGTAGAACCAATATCATTTTTATATTGCAATGTTACAAATGTTAAAGCAAACCAATAAAACGTAGAGATTTCTCAAAATCTGGTTCCCAGTAGAAGTTCTTCATAATTCTATTATGGTAACTTTCTGGGAAGGAAATGCCTAAAACTTTGACTGCATTATGCAAAGTAACTGTATTATGCAAGTTAAAGAATAGCAACAGGATATAGTATCCTGCAGTATCCTATAATGTGATGCATTTAACAGGATGTTTATTAGCTTTTATACACTATCTTACAAGTTAAAATGTGTTAGAACAAAAATTGACAGCCATTTTATATGCAGCATAGAATCAGCTTTACCTTCAGCAAATAATTATGCACTTCCTTAAAACTGTAAAATAAATTAGAGCCAGATGTAACTTAGAATATGAAGAAAAATTAATTTAAACTTACTTCATGATATATTTAGCTCTGTCTATTGTTTGAGCTTTAACTTTTACTAAAAGTGGATGACCATTATAGGTTTCATTCTTCCACTGGCCATACAGACGGTATCTTTAAAAAGATGATGAAACGAAGAATTAGGAAAAGTCAAATACTAAAGTCTAATACACTAGAATTCTTGTTGTTAAAAATATGAAACAATTATTTACCTATGTTGATAGGGAAATGTTTTAAACATTCCCCACAGTTCCTCAGACATACAAGCATTGCAGTCCATCAAAGAAAGAGATGGAAGTAGTACCTGATCAGTAATACTAAGCAAACAGCTAAGGATAACTTCCTGAGAAAGAGAAAAAAATTATTTCAATAAGAGATCCACATTACCTTCAAAATTATGATAATCTTAAGAGAAATGACCATTTCTAGATCTCATAACAGTTTCCTACACTTTTCTCCACCCAAGATAGCATGGCATGAGGAAAGGAAGGGTATTGTTGATACTTTCTCAGCATGTTAATCTTCAACATACAATATTAATCTTAAAAAACAACAGTGTGAGTTACTAAAAGCTATAAAAGCTATATTTAGCATTTAAAATATAAATTCATTATTTAAACAAATGATTAAGTCTTCCTCATACTAAAATTTGGAGTATGCTGCACTTCCAGACAAATATTTGACACATTAGATTTTTTACCAGTCTCTTACCGTTTTGTCTTTATCTTCTTGTTTGGTTCCTTCAGACTGAAACTGAAATTTCAAAAATTAATTGAATGCACAAAGTTTGAAATTATGCTATCAATTTAGTGTCTTGATTAGAAAAAATTAACTTTTATATTTAATTATTTAACTTTTATTGTTTTTTACATGAAACACACATGCAGATTTTAAATATAACCTAATAGCAATCAACATTTTAAAATTTAACAATTCTAAACTCTAAACCATTCTTCACATCCATGAACATTAAGTACTACTTTTACAATCCAATTCATTTCTCATTTTCAAGATCATTTAAATCAAAGCATCCTAAATATGATCTACGTTTTTATTATTAAATATTATAAAACCACGACCAAGGCTGGGAATGTGGCTTAGTGGTAGAGTGCTTGCCTAGCATTCATGAAGCCCTGAGTTTGATTCCTCAGTACCACATAAACAGAAAAGGCCGGAAGTGGCACTGTGGCTCAAGTGGTAGAGTGCTAGCCTTGAGCAAAAGGAAGCTCAGGGATAGTGCCCAAGCCCTGAGTTCAATCCTCAGGACTGGCAAAAAAAAAAAAAACCTGCATCTAGCACAATCATTTAGTTATAAGGCATTTGCATTTTTTCAGCCAGATTTCCTCTACAGAATAAGTAAAATTAAACATTAATACAACAAAAATATTGAACAATGTTTAAATGTTTTAATTCACTACCAAAATAATTCCTAAAAAATTAAACCCAAAATATTAACAGCATTTCTGACAAAGACAAAACAATTGTTAAATGGGACTGGAAAAAATGGGTTTATATTATACCAGCGATTTGCAGATGGGCCCTTAAAGTGATGTGCTTGGCAATGTCTAGTCATTTAAAATAAAATAGAGTGATAATAAATTGTTACATATATAAAGTTTTATGCAAACACAAACACACACGTGCATACACCCCCACACACATACACATGGGTTGAGTGTTAGAATAATGTGGACAAGCCAAAGCATTGGCACCTAAAAACAAGACTTATGGAAGGGATATATTTCAATATCAAGTTGAAGAAGGGCAAAAGTTAATATGAAGCTAATAAGTATCTTACTTTCTTGATAGATAATCGTATAGGGTATTTTCAGTACGTATGTACTTTCAGGCTTCAGTATTGTAATGCATGGTATCATAACAGGGAAGGCTAACTCCCTTGCTACATTTTCACCTAACACTAATTTAGGAAACATCTTATTAACTCTATGAAAAAATGCATATAAAAAGAAAAATGCATATATTTTCTTTTTTTTGCAGGGGGGGAGGGGTCCGGTCATGAGGCCTGAACTCTGGGCCTGGGCGCTGTCCCTCAGCTCTTCAGCTCAAGGCTAGCACTCTACCACTTGAGCCACAGCGCCACTTCCGGCTTTTTTTCTTTTTTGCTTATGTGGTGCTGAGGAATGGAACCCAGGGCCTCAGGCATGCAAGGCAAGCGCTCTACCACTGAGTCACCTTCCCAGCCCTATATTTTCTTTTTCTAACTGAAAATTGAAAGGGCATGGAGGCAGGCACTGGTGGCTCATGCCTGTAATCCTAGCTACTGAGGAGGCTGAGATCTGAGGATCACAGTTGAAAGCCAACCTGGGAAGGAAAGGCTATGAGATTCTTATTTCCAATAATCACTTAAAAATCAGAAATGGAGCTATAGCTCTAAGTGGTAGAGTGTTAACAGTACCTAGGCTCTCAGTTCAAGCCCTAAAACAAGGATAGATGAATGAATGGATGGAATGAAGGAGAGAGGGAGGGAGGGAGGAAGACAGGGATGAAAGGAAGGAGGAAGAGGAAGGAATTAGAGAAGGAGGGAGGGAGGGAGGGAAGATATAGTTTTCTTTCAGAGAAACAAGTCAATATGCATTCTATGAATAAATAAGGAATTAGGTACAGAAGAATAGACTGACAGAAACACAGCTAAAGAATTGTTCCATTTTGTCTGGTCATAATGAATTTGTAATTCTGGTGTCATATATCAGAATATATATTAAGGTATTCCATAATTGAAAAAACTAGAGTTTTTTAGTTTAATATGTAAAGAGTTTAAAGCACTTAAGCTATTCCTTCCCTAGAATACTATAATACAATAAAACTAATAAAGCTGCACATACAAATATATCTTCTCATTGAAATAAAATCTGTTTCTAAGCTGTCCTTATGAGTTTTTAGTATCCTTTTGTCTCTAAAATTATAAAGCAGGAAAATTTTAAAATGAAATGAGAAAGAAGACAAAGGCATTTAGAAGGGCAGTAAGAAATCTTCCTACCAAAGGCTGATTAGAACATCAAGGAACAAAAAAAATAAGAGGGACATGTACATAAAAGCGCTCGCACGCGCGCGCACACACGCACACATGGGCACACACACACATACACATACAAAATGAACTTTCCACAAACCTTACTCAACATAGCTTTTGTTAATTTGGGCTCACTTTTTTACTTGTTCCTAAAAATACTACTAAGTACAAATATACTCTCAGTCTTTTCATTTCAAAATTTACTTTTTTCCATGAAGAAACATCTTACTAACCTCCTTCATAAATGACTTGCCTATGCGCACCACTTTTGCAAATAAAATGGGATCATGAGAAAGGTGAGGACCAAGGTAACAGAACATATTGAATACATCTCTCCTCAAATCTTCATAGCTCTCTGCTTGCTTTGGTGCTCTCTTATTTTGCAAAGCATCAACAGGTGAGCCTTTAGCACCTTTAGGAACACCAACTCTATAAAAAGAATTCAAATTTATAAACATATATACACACATACTATATTGTATCCTTCAAGTTAACACAAATCAGTAAATAAATATTTTCTTGTTCACATTTGCCTTCTGTATTTTAATCATTCCTTATATCAAATAACTCCAACTCCCAACTAATAGAAAAACAAAAACAATATTTAATACAGAATAAAATCAGAGCTCAAAGAACAATGCTTCAAATTAACAAGAAAAGGAAACCAGGGAAATGTAAATATCAGCATTTAATTATATCATATAGCTAGTTTCAAGAATTTGGATCTGGGAATGTGGAATAAGGAATGGGCCTCAGGTATATTGGAAGATGAGACATAAGAATATGGCTGTAACAACACTGACTTAAGTGAATAAAAAACATTTATTACTCTATCTGGGTTCCCTACCTACACTGAGTATGTAGGAAATGGTAGTAGGAAAAGTAAGCTGAACAATCAAAGGTGTCATACTAAAAAGTACCACATGGCCAGAGTTCTCACCTGCTGAGCAGGTGACAGGCTATGAAATCACGGGCATCATTCTCTGAAAAGAAGCCTTCGCAGTCTACAGCCCAAGTGGCACTGAATGCAGCTGCCAGTCGCTATGCACAAGTCACAAGGCAGGCTATGATCTGTGAAACTGAAGACAGAACTGCTGCCAATACTACTCCTAAGTATACTGCAAGTAGGCTGAGAGCCAGAGGACTACTTGACACAGTAGGGACAGAAAATGAGACAGGCTATACTGGTAATTACTTTAACAACAGCATGTATGTCAGGTTAGAAGGTATGCATAGTAGCAATGTCCTCAACCAGTCACTCAACCTAGGACAGAGGAATGAATATTCCATTAGGCAAAATTCTCTACCTTCCGAAAAAAGAGGCAAATTTAAAAAAAAAAAAGAATAGAATTTTAACTCTCAATGTAGAAAATACAACCAACAAGTCAAACCTGTAGTTGCTCTTTTTTCAATTTTAATTTTATTTTCCCAAAATTTTATTGAAATTAACATACACTATCAGGGTGTTTCTTTTTGACATGCGGTATATAAATATAATGTGCCTTGGTCAGATTTACCTGCTCTGTCACACTCCTTCAACCTATGTTTATTATAATAGTAACCTTATACCCCATAGGTTAATGATAATAACTGTATACTTTAGGGTTAGGGTTAGGCATGTTTACTAATTGGTGTCTCACTAATTAATAACAAATGGGATACTACATAATAAATAAGAGATTGAATTAAAGTGAGTATATCTTGAAGTATCAAGTTCCCAGAACTACAGTTTTTATTTTTTTTTATTATCTTTAAGTAGTTGTCCAAAGGGATTTTAATTCAACTTGTCAGTTTGAGTGGAATGCATCTTCATTAAATCTATAGCTTCATACTATACTGCAACACATTTTTAAACAACTAGACATTAGAACTCACTAATATACATAAAACTAATATACCTTATAAACAGTTATCTTGAGAAAAAAATATGTCAAATGTGCTTTGTTTGAGAAAACAAGGTAAATACAGATTTTTTTTAGTCATTCTAAACCATTCCTACCTCAATCATTAGTGCCATACACAGTAACATACCTTCTATAGAGAGGCTCAACAGTTATGTGAATGAGCTTGCAAATAGCCAAAGCTATTTGTTTATGTGAAGCTGCATAGTATGGAGGCAACTGATCCATAATATTCTGTGCATGCTGCCAGTCACCAATCATTAACAAGGCTTCTAGTAAACCAAGTTTTTGGTTGTCAGGTGGCTAAAAATAAACAAAGTAAAAACAAAAATAATTAGGATATAGACATCAAGAACAATAAATACTTTTTCTCTTAAAAGACTGAGCTGAACTATTGTTCAGCTATATACAACAAGAATAGTTCTCATTCCTAGGAAACTAGAAAGCCTTTATCCTTTTATCTCCTGAAGAAAAACAATGGATCTGTGTTTTCATTTAGCATACAAAGGCAATAGAGTTTATGAATAAAATTACTTAGTGTATTAAAGTTACTTAATAGTTACTTAATGCTTAATGTTATACTGTATCAAAAGGAACTAAAATCAATTCACCTTCACAAATTCATTAATGTTTGCAAATCCCTTTGGAATTACACAGAACAAAAATACAATCGAGGGACTGGAAGATGGCTCAGTGGTAGAGGCTTGCCTTGCATGCCTGAAGCCCTGGGTTCGATTCCTCAGCACCACATAAACAAAAAGAAAAAAGCCAGAAGTGGCACTGTGGATGAAGTGGTAGAGCGCTAGCCTTGAGCTAAAGAGCTGAGGGACAGCACCCAGGCCCAGAGTACAGGCGCCACGACAGCCGCCCCCCCCCCCCAAAAAAATACAATCGATAAATACTGCAATTTTTCTTATAATACATTGTGAAACATACACAAAAATATTGTTTCTTTCAGGAAGGTGGCACTCAAAAGAAAAAAAAAAAGGTCACTTTTGTAAAATGAGTATTTCCAAAACCAGGTTTTAAAACAATCAAAAAAATTAAATACATTTCTTTATTGTAAAAATAGTGTACAGAGGGGTTACAGTTACATGAGTAAGGTAATGAGTACATTTCCTACTGAGCATTGTTACCTCCTCCTTTGTTTTTCCCCTACCATCCAACTCTTCCCTCCCTCCCTACCACAAGTTGTAAAGTTCGTTTTCAAGATAGTGTCTTGTACATCTCATTGTTACAATGGGTCAACATGTATCCTTATTTAAGCATTTTGTTTTTTCCCTTCCCTTCCCCAAATTATAGAAGTGTGTATACAAGATGCAGGGCACAGACATCAAATACAGTGAAAGCAGGGATTATACCATGGGTAAAGAACATACAAAAGAAACAAAAAAAAAAATCACACAGTACATAATAAGTACATTAAAAACAATAGCAAGAAAGAAAATGCCACTTATGCCCATCTTGGGGTTCATTTCACTTAGCTTCAATTTATATGGTCATATATACATAGCTTTTTACCTTTTCTGCTTGTCCTAGACATATACTAGTTATTGCAAATAAAGAGAAACCATGGGACCTATGTTTCTTTGGGCCTGGCTTACATCACTTAATATAATTTTTTCCAAGTCTTTCCATTTCCTAACAAATGGGGTGATAACATTTTTTCTGATGGAGGCATAGAATCCTGTGTGTGTGTGTCATTTTCTTGATCCATTCTTTCTGATGGAGGCATAGAATCCAGTGTGTGTGTGTGTGTGTGTGTGTGTGTGTGTGTGTGTGTGTGCGCGCGCGCGCACGCGTGTGTGTGTGTGTGTGTGTGTCTCTCTCTCTCTCTCTCTCTCTCTCTCTCTCGTTTTCTTGATCCATTCATTTTGTGTGTGTGTGTGTGTGTGTGTGTGTGTGTGTGTGTGTGTGTGTATCGTTTTCTTGATCCATTCATCTACTGAGGGGCATCTGGGTTGGTTCCATATCTTAGCTATGGTAAATAATGCTGCAATAAACATAGGTGTGCTGGTAGCTTTAGTATCTACCCTTGTTTGTGATCATTAAAACAACCAAAATTTTACAACTATGTTTCTGTAAGGTGACTATTAGAAGTTAAATTTCACAATCATAATGTTAATTTTATAGGAATGATGTACCTTCTCTACTTTGTCGTCATCTTTCTCCTTTTCTTTTTCTCTCTCATCCATTTTTTCAGAAGACAATACAACCATGTTAAGTTTTCTAACAATTTGCTTAGCTTCCACAATTTCTCGTTTATGTTCATCCATAATGCAACTATCAGCTGGAAGAAGCTAAAAGAGATTGATTAAACTTTTATTAGAAGCTAATAAACTTTCTTATTCAAAAATCAAAAGCTATTTTCAACTGATATAAGTCTAGTCCATTTGTGACTATGATTTTCCTTCTAAATAAATGTCACGGGGGGGGAGGCTGGGAAGGGATGTGAAGGGTAAACAAAGGAGGAGGCTGCAATGCTTGATAAGAAATGTACTCATTATCTTGCCCATGTAATTGTAACCCCTCTGTACAGTATGTTCACAAAAAATAAAAATTTTAAATAAATAAATAAATAAATGTCACAACTATTGGTAGTATTAAGACTTTGGAAATATTTTTAAATCAGGTAGCAAAATTTTGTATGCTCTTTATGTTAAAGATCCTGAAATAATATAACAATAATGTTTACCACTGAATTCATAAATTTACCCAAGAAAATATTTACGTGTTCTATTGAAAACACTAGAAATGTCACTCAGAGGTAGACTACATGCCTAGTTAGTTGCAAGGCCCTGTGCTCAATCACACACACACACACACACACACACACACACACACACACACACACACACACTAATCCAAACCCCAAACCATGTATTTTTCCTTGAAATTACAGCCAAATTCCAAATTGAAGTACTGCACATGGATTAAATTTAAATTGGTAGATGTGAACCTTCCAAACAAAAAAATGTCAAGTTGGAGCTGGGAATGTGGCTTAGTGGTAAAGTGCTTGCCTAGCATGCATGAAGCCCTAGGTTCAATTCCTCAGTACTACATACACAGAAAAGGCCAGAAGTGGTACTATGGCTCAAGTGGTAGAGTGCTATCCTTGAGCAAAAGAAGCTTGAAAACAGTGCCCAGGGCCCTGAGTTCAAACCCCAGGACTGGCCAAAAAGAAGAAAAAAAACCTGTAACTTTTTTATCCTTTATTCTAAATTAAGCTAAAAATGAAATATCTACATTTTTACGAACGGGAAACTAACACGTGTATACTCCACCCTCCACTGTGAGGAAGACTCAAGTATCTCAATACAGTTCCCTTTTGAGTGTGTCTGTGACAGTTACTGTAAACATTTTATGTAATAACCCTGACACAAGGAAAATTACAGTCAAAACACTATTAATAATTTCTGCTGGAAGCAATAGTGAACTACAAGATAAATGTTTCTATCTAATAGAAATGGATAATCTAGCCTGGCACTGGTGGCTCATGCACCTGTAATCTTAGCTACTCAGGAGCCTGAGGTGTGAGGATCATGGTTCAAAGCCAACCCGGGCAGGAAGGTCTGTGAGACTCACCTCCAATTAACCTGCAGAAACCAGAAGTGGCACTGTGGCTCAAAGTGGTAGAGAACTAGCCTTGAGCAAAAGAGTTCAGGGACAGTACTCAGGCCCTGACTTTAAGCCCCACACAAAAAGACAGTGCTCAGGACCACGCATGCACACACACACACACACACACACACACACACACACACACACACACCCTAAGAAGCCTAAAACAACAATGTTAAATTTGGATTGTCTACACACACACACACACACACACACACACACACACACACACACACACCCTAAGAAGCCTAAAACAACAATGTTAAATTTGGATTGTCTCCACACACACACACACACACACACCACACACACACACACACACACACACACACACACACACACACACACACACACCCTAAGAAGCCTAAAACAACAATGTTAAATTTGGATTGTCTCCACACACACACACACACACACACACACACACACACACACACACACACACACACACCCTAAGAAGCCTAAAACAACAATGTTAAATTTGGATTGTCTCCACACACACACACACACACACCACACACACACACCACACACCACACACACACACACACACACACACACACACACACACACACACACACACACACACACACACACACACACACACCCTAAGAAGCCTAAAACAACAATGTTAAATTTGGATTGTCTCCATTAAGACATGCCGTGCTGCTGATTAAAGCAACTCAAACTTTTTAATTCACCGTTAAATCTTCAACTGGCCAAGGAATTAACTCACTTTACAAAGTAAAGAGGAATTAATAGTGCAATTATGTCTTCATAAACTAAGAACTGAGCACCTGGAATCAATCATGGAATATTATATTGTTACCTACTCCTCTTCCCTCCCCTGGTATGGACAACCAAATACTCTTTGCAGCCCAGTTGAATTGACTTACATGTACGTAAAGATCATCTAAATCAATAAGATTAAATTGTAGAAGTACAGCTGCAACTCTGTATAAAGATGATGGAGTCTCACCACTTGGTTCCTTAAAAAACAAAAGAATAATTTCTACTTAGAGTAACAACAATTTAAATCATATCCTTGCCTCCAATAAGTAAGAACAATTATATCTAATAATTCAAGCATATAGTTAAATGTTCTTATCAAAATTAAATCTATTAAACATCTGAATTCAGGATAAAAATGGTTATGTCAGCATTCCTTTCAACATTGAAAAATCTGATGATCACAAAGAAATCAATTCTGGAAAGATACCTTTAAAAAACTTATTTTTTATTGTTATATAAGGAATGTATAGAGGGTTAGTGTTATAGACAACTTTTAAAAGCACATTAATATTGGAGTTAATTTCAATATTCATGTTTGTCTATATTTGTATATGTGTAATTTCTTCACTCGGTTTTCAAGTAGCTCTCAGTGAACATGCAAATAGAAGTGAAAGGATAAATGTGGAAATACAAAAACTATGACTTTGCTTTGTACTTTTTCCTTATACCTTTATTTCTTGGATTTCATGCTACATATATCTACGTGTACACTAATTTCCCCTTTTAAATAAGTGTCTATACACATTCAGATAGCTAAATAGACATTTTTTTGCCAGCCCTGGGGTTTGCACTCAGGGCCTAGGCACTGTCCCTGAGATTCTTTTGCTCAAGGCTAGCATTCTACCACTTGAGCCACAGCACCACTTCTGGCTTTTTCTGTGTATGTTGTACTGAGGAATTGAACCCAGGACTTCAGGCATGCTAGCCAAACACTCTACTACTAAGCCACATTCCCAGCTCCAGACATTTTCTTTCTTTTGTATTTATTTTTAAAAAAATTTTGTCCTGAACTCAGGCCTGGGCACTGTCCTTGAGCCTTTTGCTCAAGGGTAGTGCTGCACCACTTGGACCATAGCTCTACTTCCAACTTTGTGGTAGTTTATCTGAAATAAGTGCCTCATAGACTTTCTTGCCTAGACTGGCTTTGAACAGTGATCGTCCTATCTCAGCCTGAGAAGCTAAAATTACAGGCATGAGCTACCAGCTTCTGGTTAAATCAATATTTTAAACTACAGAATATTGAGGCAAATTCTAGTCTAGCCACGAGGGCCTTACAGAAAAACAAGGATCTTTGAATGCTATCAACATTAAAGCTAAGTTTTAAACTGTTTGGAGTCCATGAGAAAAAAAATCAGAAATATCTAAGTGGTCAAATGCAAACAAAACTCAAACACTGTTATTTTGCTCAACACTAAAAACAAAACCTGTCTTAAAAGCTCTTTCCACAACTGGGATGGGGATTATCAACAAAAATAGGAAGCTCTATAAACTAGACTATTTTGAAGGGGGCATTTATTCACTTTTTTTGTCAGTTATGGCACTTGAAATCAGGACCTGGGCACTGTTCAAGCTTTTCTACTCAAATCTAGTGCTCTACCACTTTGTGCCACAGATCCAATTCTGGCTTTCTGTGGTTAACTGGAGATAAAAGTCTCACAGACCTTCTTGACCAGGCTGGCTTTGAACTGCAATTGTCAGATCTCAGCCTGCTGAGTAACTAGGATTACAGGCGTGAGCCACCGCTGCCTGGCTTGCCTTTCATTTCTGACTTGCAATTAACTTCAGACTCACTATCAACCTCCTTTGGATCCTACTCTCTCTCTGCTCTCTCTCCCCCCGCTCTTCTTTCTTCCCCCTACCCCTCTCTCTGAAATAGGGTTTTCCTACCTATGTTTTATAGGCTAGTATTCACCTCCTAAATACAACTACCTCCCAAGAAGCTGGGGCTACAAGTACATAGCACCATGACCAACATATACCTTTCTTAAATTTTGGAGATCTTCATACACATACAGGCCTTTCAGTTCCTCGAACTCCTTTCTTTCAAAAATCTTCTCCTTGACACTATCCTAGTCATTCGTTCTATATCCAAAACTTTACTATTACCAAAAGCAACCACAAGTGTACGACTAATATTCTAGTTGTCTCTTCCACTATAGTCAACACTTTCTTAAATGTCTCATCCCCTCTTTTCTCAGATGATAATTTCAATTTGAAATTCTGTGAAAAAAATAGTGACTGCTGAGCTTCTCCAAATGCCCACAATCACACTTAACAACCATACTTAACTGCACCTACATATGCTACCTTCATAGCTATTACAGTTGAAGTCTCTGCTCCTAGAGTCAGTCCATCTATTATAGCACTGAATCCCATGCTATTTTCTAATTCTTTCCTTTCTCTCCTACTATAACCAGTTTCACTCTTTCTGCTCAATCATTCCTAGCAGCATACAAATCTGTTCTCTCTCCCAGTATTACAAAAAGGACTTACTTCCTTGAGTTCACTTCACCTACCATTTACCAACCCATTTGTCTGCAACAGAGTTGTTGATTCTCCCTGTCTCCAATTCCACTATTTCTATTCTGTTAAATATAATAAATTTTACTAAAACAATCAGTTTTGGTCTTCTTTTAACATAAGTGCATTCATCAAGTTTCAGACTTAAATGATAGGTCAAGCAGAGCACAAGCAGTTCTTGTATATACTAGGTACCAAGGGAACTGAGATCTAAGGATCTCAGTTTGAAGTTAGCACAGACAGAAAAAGTCTGAGGGTATATATCTCACTAACTTACATAATGCTGGTCTGGAGGCATGTCAAGCAGTACAAGTCCAGCTATGAGCAAAAAAGCTGAATGTGAATGCAAATCTCTGAGATAAATCCCTAACACTGGCACAAAAATAAATAATATCAAAACATCTGACAAAGTTGATCTTTTCTTCCTCCATTTAGCTTCTAAAATGCCACATTCTGCTTGACTCTTACTTTACATGTTGTTCCTTCTCCACCTTTTTTTCCCCCTATTTTCTGAGACAAGGCTTCACTGGCCTCAAACTCATGATTCTCCTGGCCCAGCAGTGCTAGGACTAATGGCACAGCTACCACATCCAGTTCTTCTCTTCTCTTTATTCCTGGTTCTGCTTCTTCTGCACTACCCTGTTAATACTGATATATCTCAGAGATCCATCACTGGTTCTCTTAATCTCCCTATTACAAATACGTGGTAGTTTCTTCTGCATCACAACTTTCAGTAGTATTTATATGCTCTTGATAAGATACATTTCTATTTGTAGTCTAGATGTTTGTTCTAAAACACCAGATTCATACATCCAGCTATTTACTCAGATCTAGTTACCAGACTTATATATCAGTTATTTATACTTGGATACCTAACAGATATATCAAACATAACATAATCACAACTGAATTATAGATTGCTGCCTCCAACATCAGAATCTACTGCACCTGAAAGTCTTCCCATCTCAGTTGATAATGACACCATCATTTTAGTTATCAATCCAAAAACCTTCAAAATATTCCTTAACTCAACTTTCTCATATTCTCTATTTGACCCACAAGCAAATACTGGGAATACCTTCAAAATGTATTCATACGGGCTGGGAAGGTGGCTCAGTGGTAGAGTGCTTGCCTTGCATGCATGAGGCCCTGGGTTCGATTCCTCAGCACCACATAAGCAAAAAGAAAAAAGCCGGAAGTGGCACTGTGGCTCAAGTGGTAGAGCGCTAGCCTTGAGCTGAAGAGCTGAGAGACAGCGCCCAGGCCCAGAGTTCAGGCCCCACGACCAGACCCCCCCCAAAAAAATGTATTCGTAATATCATCAGCATACACTGCTACCATAATCAGATAGATCCTTTGAAAACTTGTCAACACAAATATATACAGGTGCTCAACAAACTTGCATTCTCGTTCATTCTCATTCTTATTCTCCTGCCTTCCTCATCTGTCCCACCCCTCCCTCTCACTACTCAAGTTGGGATTAAAGGTTGCTTCTACAAAACCATTTCATTCCAATACCTGGTCATTAAATGAAGAAAATTAAAGCACTTATCCTGACTTTCGAGTAAGCACTGCATTTCAAGGAAACCAAATGACTTTAGCTGACAATGGACAATTCTTCTTTGTTAAATAAATACAGCTAATAGATATAGAGGGCATGATAAAATTGATTATGTCAACAAGTTAAAACCCTTAAGGGTTAATCTATAGATTCTAAATTATTCAACGTAAGGTGGATGATAAAGCAGACATTCATATTGTGTCAAGGTATCAACATACAGATATCTTGCTACTGATGAGATTGAACATAACATAATGAAGAATCAGACTATCATTAACTTACTGAACCATTTAAATATAAACATTAAATATTATACAATATGAAATACACATAACTTGTAAAATACTTAATTAAACCAACTATGAAAAAGTAATTAGATAATCCAAAAGATACTATCCTCTAGAAAATGGTTTCATCAACAAATCAAGATCAATAATTGACAAAGGAGGAGGCAACAATGCTTGATAAGAAATGTACTCATTACCTTGCTCATGTAACTGTAACCCCTCTGTATGGTATTTTCACAATAAAAAACTTATTAGAAAATAAAATTAAAATTAAAAAAGATCAATAATTGGATGCAGGGCTATTGTGAATTTAAAAAGACTGAAATATCCTATGCTATCTATCATTTTGGATCATCGTGTGTGTGTGCATGCATGCATGTGTGTGTGTGTGTGTGTGAGAGAGAAGGGGAAGAGAGAGGGGGAAAGAGAGGGAAGGGGGGGGAGTGTGTCCTGGAATGTTCCTGAAATTGTGGGCTCAATGCTAATACTCTACTACTTGAGCCACAGATCCACTTCGGCCTTCTGGTGGCTAATTGGGGACAAGACTCTCAGACTTTTTTGTCCAGGCTGGATTCAAACCAAGATCCTCAGATCTCAACCTTCTGAGTAGCTAGGATTACAAGGTATGAGGCACCTGTGCCCAGCTAGAGACATCATTTGAACAGAGCAGCTGTGAACTAATACTGTAAAATATTATAAAATCTAAACATGGTCTAGTTTTCTTATATGAGAGTAACTTAGTTTGGTATGAATTGACAGCATGGTTATATAAAATAATGTCCTTAACTTTAAAGCGAAGTAGGAAGGAAACCTTTTTTTCTGCCAATGACCTGTTGGATATTCACAATATGATTTGAAATTCATAGAAAGGGGCTGGGGAAGGTGGCTCAGTGGTAGAGTGCTTGCCTTGCATACATGAGGCCCTGGGTTCAATTCCTCAGCACCACATAAACAAAAAAAAAAAAAAGCCTGAAGTGGCGCTGTGGCTCGAGTGGTAGAGCGCTAGCCTTGAGCTGAAGAGCTGAGGGACTGTGCCCAGGCCCAGTGTTCAGGCACCATGACCAACCAAAAGAAAAAAAGAAAAAGAAAAAGAAAAAATGAAATTCATAGAAAATTATCAATAGAAACAGCTTTGGTCATCCAAGAAGAAGTATACATGTCTGTCCCATCATATACCAAATGTTTTGCAGGCATGGCCCACCAGCAAGAAATTTCCCTAATTTTTTTTCATTGTGCTTTTTTTTCCCCTAAGATCAGACAAGATCCAGTTTGTTTGCTGTGATATACCTGGGCTGGCTTTAAACCTTGATCCTCAGATCTCAACCTTCTGAGTAACGGGTTACAGGCCTGAGCCACCAGCACCTAGCACCCTCTTCTAAACAGTATCAACTTCAATATTAAGGAGAAACTGTCACAATAAATGTAATATAAATTAACATTATAAAAAATTACTATGTATTAGTAAACTTAATTCTAGGTTATGAAGTTATAGTCAAATATATCACTTAGTCTTTTCTATATCTCTGCAAATGCTTATAATAAAAACCTATGAGAGAAACATAAGGATAAGCTAAGATAACATCCATCTCCTACCAGAAACCCTCCATGGGTTTCATATAACATCAAAGTTAAAAACCCTGCACTAACTCTTGTGACCCAACTGCCATCACCCCTGATGTAGCCACATTGGTCTTTGTACTATTCTCTAATATATCAAAAGCATGATCACATTTTACGACCATAGTACTAGCTATTCATTTTGTCTAAGGCTGTTCAATAGACATCTGCACAATTTACATTCCCACATTCTTCAGATCTTTGCTTAAATCATAGCTTTTTAATTATTTTATTTAAAACTGCAATCTGTAAGTCCAGGACTCATTCTCCTTATCCTGCTGCACATTTTCCCATGTTGGTGATCACTTTCTATGGTAATATTTCACTTATTTAGAATGTAAACAGGAAGCTGGGTATTAGTGGCTCATACCTATAATTCTAGCTATACAGGATGCTGAATTCTTTAGATCGTGGTTCAGAGCCCTCCCAGGCAGACAAATCCTAGAAATTTCATCTCCAATTAATCTTAAGTGTGTTCAAGTGGTAGAGTAGAGGGTCAGTTATGAACCAAGGCAAGAAGGCATTGGTTTGTATTATGTATGTCACTCCACCACCTAGAACAGTTACACATAAGAGGTACTCAAGCAATATAACTTAAATAAATTAATTTGGAGTTTAATAGAGCCTAAATATTATACAAAATTACTCCTATTACTTCATTTTAAATCCAGAAATCAAGGGTTTATGACATAGGTGAGAATGATCATCTTATCCTTCTTTCTTGTGACAAGGTAACTTCAACCAAGCTTGTCTTTTAGTATACTAACACTTTCTAGTACTTCTCTTCCTGTTGTCTGTCATGCTGTACTAATGTTCTCCATAAATTGTCTATTGTAGTGATCTCTTTCAGAGGAATAGAGATGGACCTGCCTTAGGCTCAAAATTTGTCATGTTTAAAACATTCCCAACAGTTGATCACAGGCTGATACTAAAACAAAATCATTCTTAAATCAAGAATAGTCAATTCTGCCTAAAGGAATAGCATTAAGTGAAGAAAAAAGGTAGCCTGTTGAGTCAAAAAATTACAAATTGATGAAAATGAGGAGTACAATGAGGGGGACAAATATTTTCAGGCAGTAATGGAAAATGAGGATGGAATTAGGCAAGGGACCAATAAACAATTTGACCATACATGCATAGGAGCATAGACATAAAGTTATATCCCTTAGGTTACATTCCATATACAGTTCTTAATATTCGTAACTTTCCTTCCAAGACCACAAACAATCTAAAAATCTCTGACAATGCTTCTTCCACTCAAAAAGGCCCTTAACACTACAGATTCTCACAATTTAAAGACCTCCTCTGACAATAGAAACAAGGAAGTATTATAAGAACTACTCCTTCTAGTGACAGGTTATTTCTAAATCAAGCTGTTTGTGCATTTGTTTGTGTAATGGGCTTTTGTTGTTTTGAATTTATTTTTGTTTGGTACTGACATTTGCATTCAGAACCTCATTCCTTGTAGGCAGTGCTCTTATCACTTGAGCCACATCCCCAGACCTTTTTATGCTTTATTTTTTGGATAAAGTCTCACTTTTTTGCCTGGGGCCGGCCTCGGACTGCTATTCTCCCACCTATGCTTCTCTCATAGCTGAATTATAGGCATGTGCCACCATGCCCAGCTTATTTGTTGAGTGGAGTGTCGATAACTTCTTGCCCAGGAACTTCAATCCTCCTGATTTCCGCCTCCCGTGGTGTGCCACCACGCCTTGGACATAAATCAAGTATTTTGGGATATTTCTTATATAAGAAAATTCCCATAATCTACAAAAAAGGATTATTCAAATATTGTCAAACTGTCCATGTATACTTTAATTCAGCTCACAAGATTATTACATTATGAAGAATATTTTTACATAAAGATTTTTATTTTTTAAGATGTTAAGTTTAAAAAACAGCATTCCATTAACTTGATGTTATACAGTAAGTCATCATATTCACTGTGATATGCTCTGAAATCTACCAGCCCTAACCTAAATTCTAATTCATCATGGGACAAATTAAATTTTGTCTACCCTTGGAATTCAAGTTTATTTTATGTTCTTAAGATCAAGGCAATCGTGGTACCTCTTAAAATCTAAAGGAACATTTGAATCTCTGTTTCTGTCTATATTAACGACTTGTAGGCTTCATTCTCACAGTTCATTATTCCTATATAGAAAACTCTCAACAACGCTAGGATTAGTGTGGCTCAAGCCTGTAATCTCAGCTACTTGGGAGGCAGAGATCAAGATGCTTGCAATTGGAGGATAGCCCAGGAAAAAGCTTAACAAGATGTCATCTTAATCAACTAGTCAGCAATGACAGCACCCATCAATGATACCACCTACAAAGGAACCCCTAGGGAAGAGGACTGAAGTGTGAAGCCACCCTGAGCAAAAGTGTAAGACCCTATCTGAAAAATAACTAAAGCCAAAGAAGGTGTGAGGGGAGGTATGGTTTCAGTGGTACAACTCTTGCCTAGAAAGCAGAAGGCCTTGAGTTCAAATGCCAGTACCACCAAAAAATGCTTCAAGGGACAGGCTAAAAAAAACAATGTTTTTCCCTGATCCTGTATCTCCTGAGGCAAATTTAATTATGCTTTCACATTATTCAAGCTATCCATATAGTACTTATCACAACATATTGTTAGCTCTCCATTAACCTATCTTCTCTGCTAGAATGTCTGAACTGAAACCACTCACTTGTAAACAAAACTCAAACTAAATTATTCACATAAAATTATGAAGTGAACCTATACATATATTTTTACCTGATAAAACTTGAATTTGAACCCAAGAATATGACACAGTGTTTGCGGTTCACACATACTCATGTAAGATTCTAATAAAGATATAAAGAAGTCATCGTGTTCTGGCCTGCATTCAAATACTTCTAAAATGACATCCAGTACTCTGTTGGGATCCAGATTGAAGCATCCTGTAACAGATGAAATATACACATGTTCAAAAGTTGTTACATCATTTCTAATAAGGCCATTAGCTTTTAGCAATAACCAAAATAACAGGGTTTTAACTTAGTAAACTCTTTTTAAGTTGGCTTCCTCTTCTTCAGACAACATATTCTACAGATGAAAATGTAACTTGACTAAGATCACAAAATAGGTTTATGGCAAGCAAAAGGGTGAAATCCAACACCTATAACATGACTTAAGTAATTTTCTTCTATATTGTAGCACTGCCTCATCAGTTCTTGATCACTCAGGCAAATGAAAGAGATCAACACTATTAATTCTTAGCAAACCATGAAAATCAAACAATGCATTTGATAAGTTAGACAAATAAAGGGATTTACATATTTGTTTTAGGCAGAAGGGTTTGGAATGTTAATCAACAAAAGTTTAGGTTCATGAAACTGGACCACCGTCATTCTTAGAATCAATAGTTTAGTTTATCTTACATATATAACACAGTTGCAAAATAAAGGCATTATAGGTAGAGGAGGTAAAGGAAGGGAAAGAAACACTGTGCACTGTTATCCATGTTAATCTCCTATGGTGAACTAAAAAGGGCCAATCAGACATGGACCTGGTAAAACTTCAAGCTGTCATTCTATTCTTTTTTGATTTTGTCAATCATAGGGCTTGAACTCTGGGACTGAGCACTGTCCCTCAGCTCTTCAACTCAGGGCTAGCATTCTACCACTTGAGCTACAGCACCACTTCTGGTTTTCTGGTGGTTTATTGGAGATAAGAGTTTCAGGGCCTCTCCTGCCGCACTGGTTTTGAACTGCAATCCTCAGATCTCATCCTCCTGAGTAGCTAGGATTACAGGCGTGAGCCACTGGCGCCCGGCTGTCATTCTACTCTTAATATATCAGTAACTCTATATGCATTTTGCTTCTGCTGTTACCATGATGACATTGTGTACAGACACAATGTACAGACACCATTTGTACGAAAAAAAAGAAAAATAATTTAATTCATAGAGGCAATTCTATACCCTATTTCTCTCAAAACATGTTCATGAGCCAGGTACCAATGGCTCCCACCTGTAATCACAGCTACTCAGTAGGTTGAGATATAAGAATCATGGTTCAAAGCCAGCCCATCAGGCAAGTCCATGAAGCTCTTATCTCCAATTAACCAGCAAAAAGCTAGAAGCAGAAATATAGCTCAAGTGGTAGAGCCTTATGCAAAAAAAATCTAAGGCACAGTGCCCAGGCTTTCAGTTCAAGCCCCAGTATCTGCACCCAAATATATACATATATTCTTAGGACCCACAATGTGCATGACATATCTGTTTCCTTAAGTTTATATCTGTTCCAATGTGCTATGTATCAAATGGAATGGAATTTTAAGTAACCCATATACTATGCTCTATAATTCCTAATTAAAGTAGTAATGTAGAAAAAGGTTTGTATTTTTATTTATAACACCTAAGTACAAACTAATCATTTCACTGAAACAGAATATAAACATCTTTTGTTTTTGTTTTTTTGCAAAATCCTGGGACTTGAACTCAGGGCCTAGGCGCAATCCCTGATTCTCTTTGTGACCAAAGCTAGACTCCACCACTTGAGTCACAGCACCATTTCTGGCTTTTTCTGTGATTAATTGAAGATAAAAGTCTCACAAACTTTCCAACCTGGGGTTGGCTTTGAACCATGATCCTCTCAGCAGCCGCTTGAGTAGATAGCATTAGAGGTGTGAGCCATTAGCGCCTAGCAAACATCTATTTTTAATGCTAGAAAAATAGTGTTTGACTGAGGAACATGTGTGAGATTTAAACACTTGTACCTTATGAATGGCTTAGGAGATTTTTCAAAGAAAATTTATAACCTGGTAACTTATTCCCACTCGAACACTTTTGTAAGACTTTCAAGAGCTGTATCTATCAACTTCACTCAATTTCAAGTTTTAGCAATCGGAAAACTAAATACTTCCAATACAAGTATTATTCCCATTTTTTACGTGATGCTAATGATACATTTTCTTCCATTTGTCAGACTAAGGAAAAGAAGGACAAAAGCTGTGATATCTTACCAAAAAAGGGCTTCAAATTTTCATAAATTCTCTAAAAAAGATACATCATAAAGTTCTGGGAGAAAAACCTAGATATTTTGCCTTCTGCTATACTCCCAAACATAAAACTGACTCCAAACAACAACTAGAAGAATCCTTAAATGCTGCTGGAAATATAAAGTTTAAAAAAAAACTACCTGGGGGCTGGGAATATGGCTTAGTGGTAGAGTGCTTGTTTAGCATGCATGAATGTCTGGGTTCCATTCCTCAGTAGCACATAAACAGAAAAGGCTGGAAGTGGTGCTATGTCAAGTGGTAGAGTGCTATCCTTGAATAAAAGAAGCTTAGGGACAATGTCCAGACCCTGAGTTCAGGCCCTAGGACTGGAAAAAAAAAAACTACCTAGCTAAAAATGATAGCTTCTTTAAAAATGATAGCTTCATTAAAAGTGAAAAACACATATTTTAGTCATTACATACCTAGGCATTACCCAAAAGAGGAAGGGAAGGAAGCAGAAAGGTTGGGTATTCAGATATAAAAAGTGAAGAACTGTCTGGGCGCTGGTGGTTCACATCTGTAATCCTAGCTACTCAGGAGGCTGAGATCTGAGGATTATGGTTCAAAGCCAGCCCGAGCAGTAAAGTCTTAGCAATAAAGTCCTAAAATCCATGAGACTCTTATCTCCAATAAACCACTAGAAAACCAGGAAGTGGTGCTGTGGCTCTAGCGGTAGAGCACTCACCTTGAGCTGAAGAGCACAGGGACAGCACCCAAGCCCAGAGTTCAAACCCCGTGACTAACCAAAAAAATAAAAATAAGGCACTGGGAAGGTGGCTCAGTGGTAGAGTGCTTGCCTTGCATACATGAGGCCCTGGGTTCAATTCCTCAGCACCAAATAAGCAGAAAAAGCCAGAAGTGGGGCTGAGGCTCAAGTGGTAGAGCGCTGGTCTACAGCTGAAGAGCTGGGGGACACAGGTCCAGAGTACAGGCCCCATGACCAACAACAACCCCCCCTCAAAAAAAAGTGAAGTACTACTCATACAGACAACAACCTATAAAAATCACAAAATAATTACAGTAAAATAACAATGTCAAAATGAAATAAGCTAAATAAAAACACTATACACTGAATGATTACATTTACAGAAAATTCCAGAAAAAAACCAAACTAGTCTATAGTGTCAGAAAACAGATCTAGCCTCAGGAGAAAAGAAATAGAGAGGGAGATAACACAAACAAGTAAGAGAAATCTTGGAGCTGACTGATAAGAAAGACCATCATCTTGTTTGAGAGGTGTGTTTGAATAGATAGATACATGCAGGGCTGGGAAGGTGGCTCAGTGGTAGAGTGCTTGCCTCACATGCATGAGGCCCTGGGTTTGATTCCTCAGCATCACATACACAGAAAAAAACGGAAGTGGGTACTGTGGCTCAAGTGGTAGAGTGCTCGCCTTGAGCGGAAGAGCTTAGGGACAGCACCCAGGCCCAGAGATTAAGCTCCATGACTGACAAAAAAAAATATATACATTCAGGTACAGTTATAAAACATCAATTATGCCTTAGTAAAACTGAAAAATACTAATTCTGTAATAGACAACAGATTATAAAAGTCCAGTCCAGCAAAATTTTGCAATCTTTTCACTTCTACATTTAATATATGGATACATTGCTAAGTTGGGTACTGGTGGCTCATGTGTTTAATCCAAGCTACTCAAGCAGCTGAGATCTCAGGATCACAGGTCAAAGGCAGTCCAGGCAGAAAAGTCCATAAGATTCTTATTTCCAATTAACCAGCAAAGTGCCAAAATAGATCAATACTCTGAAGCAAAAAATTTAAACAAGAAATAAGCAAGAGCTCAAGGTTCAACCACAGTAACCAAAACACACACATACAAAATAGAAATTTTTAAAAGAAATCACTAAGTGACATATATGGTATATACACATGCACATCTGAGGGAAGGTGGGAGCAGAGCAGAGGATCAGTAGAAAACAGGTAAAAAAAATACAGCAGAGAGGCCCATCAGTTGCACTGGACCACTCAAGGCAGTGGTGGGAGGGAGGGAATGAAAGAGAAATGGAACAGCTGATACTAAGCAAAAGGAAAGAAATGTACATACCACCTGATTTTTAAGAAATAGTTTCATTGTTAAAGGTCATAGAGCTCATAAACTAAGTAGATTAAGATAATGATGACTATCACTGTGAAGATTAAAAAGCATCTGTGTCTTTAGCTAAGCATAACTATGCTAAAGTATTGTGAAATTTATGTAGTCACTTAATCTCAATGAAATATTGAAGAGGGGGTAACAATGCTCGACAGGAAATGTAATTATTACCTTACTCATGTAACTGTAACCCCTCTCTACAGTATCTTTACAACAAATATATATAAGTATATATGTAAAGAAATGTTTGAACCCCTCTGTACAGTTTTTTCACAATAAAAAAATAAAAAAAAGAAATGTACTCATTATCTTGCCCATGTAACTGTAACCCCTCTGTACAGTATTTCCACAATAAAAAAATAAATAAATAAATGTTTGAAGAAAAAAATCACTGAGTGAAAATGAACAATACTATTCTATTATAGAGGACAATAAAGTCACTGAATATTAATTCTGAAAAATAGGCTGGCATATTCATTAGATGATATATACAAAATCTGTAAATAAGAATAAAATGGCAACAATGGATGTAATTTTTCCAAGTATTTCATTCAGATTACTTTGAAGTTCACATTTTAAATATGCAGAAATATAATCACTGACATTATGTTTAATAGTAGTAATTCAGCCAGGCTATTCTGCATGTGATCTGTAATTTCTAATTAAGGTAATGATCTAGAAAAGGTGTGCATGGGAGCCGGGCGCTGGTGGCTCACGCCTGTAATCCTAGCTACTCAGGAGGCTGAGATCTGAGGATCGCGGTTCAAAGCCAGCCCGGGCAGGGCAGGA